GCGGGCAGGACACAGGCAGGGCACAGGCAGGCACAGGCAGGGCACAGGCAGGGCACAGGCAGGGCACAGGCAGGGCACAGGCAGGGCACAGGCAGGGAACAGGCAGGGAACAGGCAGGGCACAGGCAGGGAACAGGCAGGGCGTGGCAAATCCCGTGCCAAGCGGGCGTCAAGTGAATACGGCAGCCGCCCGGCGCCGCTCACCCCGCTAAGTGCCTGTCCACACACAATGAGTCCGACGAAAAAACAACGCCATCAACAGGCAATCCAGGCAATCCCGAGCTCCTGGCCGCAATAAAAAGACGCGGCCTTCTCAAGTGCCTGGCTCCCCGTGCATTACAACGCCAGGCGGGCCGCGCGCCGTCCCCGCCGGCTGTCCGCTCTGACCCGGCTGCACGTCAAGCTGCCCGTCACGGCGGCCCGCGCGCCGCGTGCATTCCACTGCATTGCATTAGAAGCAGTGCAATCTCGTCTATAAATTCGCGCACATGTTGCAGCAGGCCGCCACCGCGCGCCGCGGCGCCACCAGGCAGCGCGACCCCCTGACCCGTCGCCCTGGCCGCCGTCGTGCGAGCCCCCCATTAGGCCCCGAGTGGCGTGGCCGCCGCCGTCGTTTGTCACCCATCGGGCCAGGGTGGGCGGGGAAGGTTCGGTCCCGGAGGCCGGAGGCGGAGGGACACCAGAGTGGCCACGGTCCCCGACGAACGCGTAGCGGCTTCCCGCCAAGCACACAAAGCGATGCGGGTCTCTTTCTCCTCCGGGCAGGGAAGACCATCGCGGCGAATTGTGCGTTAGAAAGCGAGCCGCGCGTCCAGTCCGATTGCGTCGTGCTGAGCACGGCGGCGCGCGGCGGCCCAACGGAACCAGCTCCGCGCGACGAGACTTACCATCTCACACGGCCATCATCTCGACCTGCCCCGCCAGCCGGCCGCCAGCGCGCCACCATTAGCTGGCTGGCTGCCGGTGTCGGAGTGCGTTGGGCTGCCTGCAGACGGGCGTCGCTGCGCTACTAGCGGTGCTACTCCACGCGCTAATGCGCCCCTTCCGTTGCAGGCTGCCAGCACGCCACCGCCGCGTCCACCAAGGCCGTCCCCAAGGCCGCCGCTACCCCGACCATGACAGTGGCCACGCCGCACGCTGCGTCGTCCGTTTCCCTGGACCGCTACCGCCGCCTCGTGCCCTACATGACGTACTACGTGGCGCAGGGCCTGGCGCAGCGCCCCTCGGCCCTGCAGAGCCTGCAGCCCGTCCCCAACGGCCTCGAGCCCTACACGGTAAGCCCCGAAGCCTCCGCGAACTCGTCGCAGGCAGACCCGACTAATGCTTCCCTTCCCCTTTCCAGGGTCGGCTGCGAGGCAGCGGCGGCTACGTGCTGCCGGCGTACGTCGTCAGGCCGGCGGCCGTGCCTCCCCCGCGCACCCACGGTCCCGCCGCCGTGCCCGCCGTGCCCGCCGCCACGCAGGGGGCGCCGCCCCGGACGCTGTTCCGCTTCGACTTCCAACAGGGCTCGCGGCCAGTGACGCCGGCCAGCGCCAGCAGGCTCAAGGACCAGCCCTTCTTGCCGTCGCCGCCGCTCACGCCCGAGAACAAGGACTCGGACGACTACTTCAAGCCGCTCACCGACACCGCCAACTACTACCGCGCCGTGGCCGCGCCCGCCCCCGACCACCACGTCGTGTTCCCCGAGGACGACGCCCGGCTCAGGTCTGGCCCACTGCGTACGATGGGTGGCCTACCCACCAGGCGCGAACCAGCTTGGACCCCCACTGACATTTCCCTTTCTCGTGCTTCCAGAGCCAAGCTTCGCCAGCAACAGCGCAAGAAACAGCAGCAGCAAGAACAGCAGCTGCTGCAGCAGCACCAGAACCAGCAGCAGCTGCTCCTGGACGAGGCCTACCGCGTCAAGCTGCTCGTCCTGCAACAGCAGCAGCTGCAGCAGCTACAGCAGGCCAAGGAGCTGCGTGCACAACTGCAGAGCCAGCGCCTGCGCGACCAGCTTCGCGCCCATCAGCACCACGAGCAAGAAGTGCGCGCGCTGGTCCAGGCGCAACAGGCCAAGCGCCAGCGAGAGCAGCAGCTCCAGGCGCAGCTTCAAGCTCAGCTGCAGGTCCAGGACCTCAAGATGCTGCGGGAGCAGCAACTCCAGGCCCAGCTCCAGGCGCAAGACTTGAAGAAGCAGAGGGACCAACAGCTGCGCCAACAGCAGGAATACGAGCTGCAAGCGCAGCTGCAGGCAGAGCTCCAGGCGCAGAACGAACTGAGGGACCAGCGGCTGCAGGCCGAGCTGCACGCGCAGAACGAGCTCAGAGAACAGCACCTGCACCAGGCACAGCTCAAGAAGCTCAAGCAGCAGCGCTTGCAGCAGGAGCAAGAGCTTCAGGCACAGCTGCAGGCACAGCTGCAGGCGCAACTCGAGGAGGAGCAGAGGCAAGCCAAGCACCAGCAGCAGCTTCGGCAGCGGCCCCGCGGACCCCCGCGCCACAAGGCCGAGGCCCCCGCCGAGGTCGACACTGTCGACACCGAGCAGCAGGTCGTCGTGTCCCTGGAGGAGGTCGAGAAGATGCTGCCGCCGTCCGCTCCGTCCCCCGCGGCGTCCCCCGCGGCGTCCCCCGCCCCCGACACCGAGCCGGTCCAGACCGAGGTCGTCGTCGAGCCCATGGTGCCCGTGCGCCCCAGTGCCGCCAGCCCCGTCCTCATCAACCCCGTCGTGTACGCCGAGGAAGCGCAGGTACGTTCGATGCGTCGGCTAAACTAGTCCCAAGGGAATTATTGGTCGAATGGTCGAATTATTTAAAATCGCCATTTCTCATCCTAGGTATCACCATCCGTCGAAAATGTGACCCCACCTAGCAGCAGCCGCGAACTGGTCGCACACCTAATCAATGGCCTGCAGCTGTCAAACAAACTGCCGCAGTCCCTCACGCCGGACAACTTCGACATGAGTTTGAAAACCATACTGCAGCTGCTGAAAATTCTGCACAAAAGTAAGGCCACCAATGGGCCTGTCGCCACGCCAGCAAAAATAAAGGTAACATCAAAATATATCTGCGTTAAGAATGACTGCTTTGTCAGCTTTAACATTGAAACTATCTGAGGAAATATGGTTGCAGGTTTCACCTGAAGCCCCAGAGCGAGAAACATCATTCTACATTGGGGGAAGCACGGTATCCCAAACATTCCCAGCTCCTAGTGCTGAGGGATCAACGCCAGGAAGGCCTGGCATTGATTACCCAGCTTACGATTCTATACCACAGACAACCTTCAGCTGTGCCTCACAACGATACAAAGGATTCTTTGGTGACCCAGACACAAACTGCCAAGTAAGTTCCACACAATATTTATGCAAATGAATTAAACTTTCTTTTCAATTAAAAAAAGGTATCATCTGCTAAAAAGTAACATCTCACCTTTTACTTAGGTTTGGCATTACTGTGACTTAAATGGTGGACAGGCCTCTTTCTTGTGTCCAAATGGCACAATATTTAGTCAAGTTGGACTGACATGTGATTGGTGGTTCAACGTTCGCTGTGCATCCACACCACAGCAGTATGTTCTCAATGAAAGACTCTACAAATACATTCTGCCAGTCAAACCAAGTTTTCCAGAGGATTACTCTGGGCCGGATGTTGATCGTTACCTGACAGAGAAGTTCCGAGAGATGCAGGCAAAGGCCAGAGGAAGAAAAGAAAAAGTAAAAGCTAAGGAAAAGGATAACAATGAGCCAACAGATACAGCAGAACAATCTGCTGAGCCAGTTGAGAGCAACCAAACAGAGGAGCAGAAAGCTCAAACCATCAAGTCCTCTGAAATCACCAACAGTACAGTTATAAATGGACAGCAACAGCTTGATCCAGATCTTTAAACTTCAAAGAGTAAGAGAGTTAAGTTTTTTTTTTTTAAAAAAGACAGGCAGAAGGAGACACAGGTAAATTAATGGATGACTGACATCCAGTTCCAGTATTGTTCTAGCAAACCTCAGCATTCAAACTCCTTGCCATATGTAAGATTGCATCATTTTATTTGACTGGCAAATGAGCATTAGTAAATACACTATGTGCCACATGTAAATATTAAATTAGTAGCAATGTTGAGGGACATGTTCTACAGGTGAAAACAAAAAAAAAACTTGTGATGCATTACTTACACACAAGCCAAAAAAACGAGGCTGCCATTAAAGGAAAAGGCTCATCATGAGGCGTTTCTCTTATGTAAAGACAATTACTCGTAGGCTGACAAGTAATCAATCATTTCAGTAACTTCTTAACTTTCGACTGAAATATTTAAGGAAATCCAGAACTAAAAACATTTATGAATGCCAACCACCTAAACTTGGAGCAAGTTTACATGACTAACTAATACCTCAATTGCTTTGTGCCACCCTAAAGAAACAAATGATGGACAAAATTTGTGTGCCTGAACTACAACTATCATTGCCATTGTCACTTTTAATTTAAGGTTTGGATAACCCAAAATTTAACCATTACAAGGAAGCTATGAATTAAATCCCAGTTAAGCCTGCCAATATGCCATTTTGTTTTACTACGGGTTTAAATAAAAATGAAGCCGCACATGAAAAAAGAATTGTTGGTGAAACACGAACCAACTAAGCCAAGATGTTTTTCTAGTCAGTGGTGAGAGGTATTTTTTTGGGGTGAGAAATTTAAATTGGTGTCAGTTTATTTGAAGCCTTCCTTTAAATTATTGCTTAATGCAGTTGTGCAAGAAGTCCAAATAATTATGGATGTAAGTGTCTTTGTAATTATAATGTTTAATGTTGAAAAGCCTGAGCATGTTTTAGATAAGTTATTTAATTAGTGCAAAAATAAACCATGTTATTTAAGAATACTTTGTAGATAGATAAATGTAAAGCATCAGTTTTTTGTTACCTTGCCAATTTATGTATTAAAGAGAGAAGAAAAGACAAAAAGACAGCCGCATCTCAACCAAACTCCACAAGGGCCCCGCTCCACCTAGGCTAAAAGTGATGACTTTTGCACTTACCTTCAATGACATCTTGAGTCTCAGCTTTATAAGTTCAGCTCGATCCATAGCCTCCTGGATGGCTGGCAGCAATTCTTCATTCTGATGAAAAGGTATTAAAATTAAGAAACAGTGCGCTGGCAAGCCACAACAATGCATGAAGCAGTTAGAATTGCCTACCTTGGTGGTCCGTTCAACAAAATCATGATCCTTGTGGGTCATAACACAACATTTACTACATATATTCTCCATACAGGTTGTGCAGAACATCTCAGATATATTTTCTGGGTGTGCCAGGCACATTATGGCACATGTATACAAGGAATCACGCTGATGAGACCGCAAGGACTTTGATACGGAGTGAATCTTAAAAGAGGAGATAGTTCAATTAACTCACAATACAATTACAACACTGATAATAAAACACAGAAAATATTCCTGAATGCTTACAGTTGTAAAACAACTATCACAGTATGGTGAATTAGAGCATTTCTTGCAGATACAAACCGCAGTAGCCGACTCACACTCGTCGCATTTAACTGAGGACATCGAACAAGTAAATTTTAAAATGATGGCAGTAAGAATCAAAGCGATAGATAACACAAAAATATTAAATTAAGTACCTTTCTTGGAACTGGAAGAGGATGTAATCTGGGGTTTTGGTGGTTGGAAGACGAATTCAGGTTCTGCCATATCTTTCCTGTTAGCTCTGACCAATGCTTGGCCGATGATGTAAAGGTGAAGGGGGAACTGGCTGTCCAGCTCCATCAACGTGCCACAGCAAGGGGTCTCATACTTGCAAAGCCCACACACAATCGACTTTTTGCTCTTGTCGTTTAGAGACACACGTACGCATTGTTCGCACGCGGCATGGCCACAGCCCAACAGGCGAGGGAGCCTCTGCCCCGCTCCCTGCCGTAAATCTGCAATTTCAAACAGAATCACACGGATAAGACTTCAAAAAGCCAAGAACGAGCCTTAGGACAACGCTACGGCACAGGTTAGGGTTGACGTGCATCTTCGGGAATTTTCAGTGAAATAAAGCAGCAAACCAATAAATATACTTAGGGAACTGTAAAGGCTGAACTACTTTCTCTGATAAACGGTAAAAAAGTGCAAATCGTCGAAGCTAAAGGCATAAAAATGGAAGTTGAGTGCAAAAATGGCATTCCCCTTGGCCCATCTTAGGCTCCAATATCAGGGCTGGCAAAAACAAATATCGCATGATTTTTTCGCAAATTAAAGCGACATGCATCGATTGAAGTCAGATAATAACTTTGGACAGGGAGAATAGATAGTTTCGACAAGCTAACAGGCAGAAGAGCAGTGGGCCTAAGCGTGGGGCCCCTCAACAATAGGCCTCTGTAACACACCTCGGACGTTGAAGGATTTGTCGCAAACAGAGCAGAATGCGGCACTGCCCATTCCAGGCATGTTGGTCCTTAAATCTCACAGTCGTCAGTGGTAGAGTGTACACTCCTGTCAAACAATAAATCTCACAAAGGAAGACAACACAGACGAACGCGTGCAACGCGCAACCGAGCAGCACAGGCAAACGGCGTCCTTTCCTCACTGCTGCATTCTGAACTGCAACCGGTCCAGCGATGGTCCTGCGCCCTGCGCCGAGCGAATGGCAATGTGGAGTTTTAGCAACAAAAACAAATGGACAGGATATTGTTTTTACGGCATCGTCATGACTGGGCTATCAAAATTGTTCGTAATCGGTACTGAGGTAAGTTTTTATTCATGTCTTCGAATATTTTTCTCAAATTTTGCTTGAAACGGAGATGTAACAAGTGGGTGGACCCGGACCCACTCCACACCACACAGCAGACAAATCCCGCGTCGGCGCAGGTGGTCGAGGATGTCAACAACATCACGTGACACGAAGGCGGCCGAAGGCGTTCGGGTTCGGGTCGTTCGGCTGCGGTCGGAAAGCCTTCGGGCCGCCGAGCGACCCGAACCCGACGGACGCGACGCGACGCGATGTGAACGTGGATCAGTCGTTTGTTTACGTTCGTGCTGCGAAGTTGAGTTCGAGTCCGAGAGCCGAGAGGCTGTCCTCCGAGTTCTACCGCACTGGCGGATTTTGTTAACGGAGGCAGCTTGTTTACAACTTTATTTTCCCATCGATAGCTTCCAGCTGGAATATTCTCGCATATGTGAGCTCACGGTTGGATAATGCTCCAACGTGATACTGTTATTCACCTAGTTGCTGGCGGGTAAGCATAGCATTAGTTTGTATGTCCTAGTTCGTTATGACGTTGTCCTTTCGTCTAAGGCACTGTGAAGATTTTGAGTCTTTACATGTCACGGTTGTGTGGAAAGGCTGGTTTGAACCCCTGCCTCTTTCCTTGATGTGATGTTTTTTTTCTTAGCTACTTTGTTGGTGCTGCCGGCCACCTAGCTGAAGCTTTACCCGCTAGCCTAACTTTCCCGATCATGCATCTTGAGTTGTGGCAGTGGCAGTGTGTACCAGTGGATAGCTGCATAACTTTGGAGACCACCCACTGGCCGTGTTGCACCCGGAACACATAAGTATGCCCATTGTGGTGTATGACAATGGCTAAGGCAAATGTGGACAACTCCTCTTCACTGTTATTGAATGTTGCCACCCCCTTTGTTCAAGAAAATTTCCTTATCTGTGGAAATTTCTGTTCATGTCTTCCTTTCTCCTTCTTTAATGTCAAGAACATACTGCTGTCATTGGCTGTGTCTTCAGATCCATATTCTCTCATAAGATCATGCAATTTTTCTTGTTGTGGCGTTCAGTTTGTTACCAAGAGAAATTTTATGGAAAGTGAACATGAAGAACATCAGAGTACATTGTAAACTGTGTAATTTAAGTCTTTCACTTCAGCTATACATTATCACTTGACATCACTACATTTTCAAATCCCGCAACATTTATTTACCTATTTCCATTATCGAACTGATTGTCAAACCTCTTGGTATCTGTATATTGTTGATAATATAGAAGACACATATGTACTCTTTAACTTTTCCTGTTTCATTTTGCAGATTATAATCTCTCTATCTCTATTACTTTTTCTTTTCTGATTTTTCTGTCTTGAATCTATGTTCCCTTGATCTCACTCATAATGAAAGAAATTAAAAATTAAGTCCGACAAACAATTAGCTTCCTCCCATTGTGGCAACTTCAAAAGTCTTGTTTTAACTTAATTTCTATTCAAGTATATTTTTTTTCTTACATTTGTAACTTGCTTTTAAAAATTATAATACAGTAAATAATAATTGAAACTAAAATTTTTCTGCTTCATGTAAATTTAGACATCAACAAAAATTAAGTGAGGGTTGTATTGGTGCTCCTCAGGACTGTTTTTACATAGTGTTACTTTTTACTCTCTTTCAGAACCGCTGGCACAGCAGGTGCTATAGTAACATGCCCTTTGGAAGTAGTCAAGACACGCCTGCAGTCATCAAGCGGATTCCAAGTTCATAATGTGAGCCTCCCTAAGATAGCGTCTGCTGAAGGTGGCAGCAGCCATGTTACCTGCAAGACTTTGCTACCGCCTCACCAGCGGCGGAGACTCACCACCATGGCGGCACGGCACACTCAAGTCCTTTCCATTTCACACTGCGGAGTGGCAGGTGGCCCTAGCTCCAAAAGTATGAGCATCTACCAATGCATCAGGTAAGACAACCAGCCAGCCCACAATGTAGAAAATAAGTTAGCCCCTGCTAATTTTGGCCCAGTCTTTATTTTTGACTCCTGTCAACGCCCTGTGGTTAGTAACGACCTCCCTGCAGCTTTCGCTGCACTTATGGCCTCGTGCTATCTTGGTTGGCACGGCTTGGCGAGCGCTGCAACTCTGCAAGGCGACGTGTGACCTCAGACGGACTCTGCGCGAACCTCACCAATTTTTCAATTGCCTGGAGAGTATTTGGAGCCGAGCCCCCTTCCAGTCTTTCAGCGCTGGAGCCTGGCTCAGCCCCTCGCCGGCCGCGGCGCTTAGCCGACCGGTTCCGAGCCGAGCCCTGCGGAGGGCCATTGGGGCCTCTACTACCGGCCGGCCGGACCGGCTCACGCTGACCTGGGTTGGGCGGAGATGCAGGTTAAAAATACACTCGTCCCGCCGCGCTGCTCCTGCCCCCCGGGGCGCCCGGGGGCACCCAGGACGCACTCGGTGCAGTCGGCACTCGCCACGACACTGGGGCCGTCGAGGAAGCCTCGGACTGCGGAGGCCTGTGCCTGCATGAGCAGCTCGCTGGTTCACGCATGTCGTTCTGGAAAGCCGCGCAAGCGCTAGGCTCGTCCTTGCGACCGACGGCGCTCGGCGGGCTCGTTGCCCCTCGACGCGCATCGCGCTGGACGCGCAGGACGTGGTCAAGCTGGCCGCCCCGCCCCTGCCCGCCTTGGGATTTGGCCAACCGCTGCATCGTTACGCAACGACTGCAAGAGTGGCGCCAGCCCACGACAAGCACTCCGCTGCTAGGCTAGAGGCTAGACTCCTCTAGGCTCCACTATTTTCCCAGCCGCTGACGAAAAGCGGAAAGCGCTGGCGCAACGCAGTGCAACGCGCTGGTCAGCCAGTCGATATCCGCTCTGTCAATTTTTCATAGCAGCCGTGCGGCCGCGGCGGCTGGGCTTTCCCCTGGGCGTTTGGCTGCCGGCCAGGCGGCCGGGCGGGCAAGGGCTGCTCCCTTCCTCCCTTCGAACCGCCGACGGACAACGACTAACGAAGACGAGGTGCACCGTGCGCCTCGCGTTTCGGATTCGAACCGCGCTGGGACGGCGAAAAAGAGAAACGCCCCGTTCGGCCCGCTTTTTAGTGCTTTGTCTCTGCGGTTTGGAAGAGGGGCGTTATCGGCCAGCCCCGTCGGCGGTGCCGGTGGCGGTGCGTGTGCGTGCAAGGGGTGGGGCCGTGTCGGCCGTGCGGCGTGGAAAGTTGTCCCACTGCACCTCTGCACTGTGGCGCGACGCCGAGCCAACGCCGCCGACGTGGAGAGTCCTAGGCTAAGGCGAGGCGGCCTTTGCACCTAGCTGGACGCGAGTACTGTACACCGTAGCCGAACAAGCGCAAGGTTTGAGGCCTGGCGTACTGGCGTGGCGCCTCGGGGGCCAGCCTGGGGAAGTTCCACGGCGGCAAGCCTCTCGTCGGCCTGTCGGCCGCGGCGGCCCGCTGCCAGGCGGGGTTGCTCGCTGCTGCGTGGCCAGGCCGGACGGCGACACGTCGCCTTTGATCCGCGCCCCGCTACGCCCCGCCGGGGCCCGCCATTGGCTTTGGGTCGCCGGCCATCGCCGATATGATTCTGCGGTCTAATTCGGTCGCCGAGATTTGGCTTTGGCGTTGGAGGCCGGACTGAAGCCCGCGACCTGAGCCCGAAATCCCAGACCGGCGGCGCGGCCGCGGCGCTCGGCCTTGGCGGCGGTACTGCCCGCCCGGAACCCAGCCGCCGCGGGTTGAAAACAACAGGACGTCCTTTTCTTTTTTCCGTGGCCGGTGTGTGACAGAGACGGCGTATCTTGTGCGTTTGGTGGGCTGCAGAGCCGGCCGTTGGGTCGGGACTCTGGCACCGCAGCAGGCAAGCCTGGCAACGGCCGTTTGTGCCCCTCCACGCCACGCCCCGCCACGCCCCGCCACGCCCCGCCACGCCCCGCCAAGCCCCACGCGTCGTCCAATGGCTGCGGCTCCTGCTCGGCCGGGCCCTCGCACGACGCCGCGGTGCGTCCGTCGAGCCCCCGCGGTGCCCGCATGTGTGTGAGTGCGAGTGTGAGGACGACGCCTGGCTCCGCCGCGACTCCCCGCCACGCCCTTCGCGCCTGCCCTGCCTAGCCGCTGCAGTCGAGCAACAACCTCGTCGTCCGTCCGCGGCGGTCCCCAGCCTCATGTCTGAATCCCAATTCAGCTGGCTCGGCCCGCTCCACACTCCGCCGTGCGTCTGAATAACGTCGCGCCAAGTGGATCATTCCTCTGCATAATGGCCCCGGCCTCGCTTCCCGCGCGGCCTGATTCCGAAGTTTGGTCGCCCCGTCTCTCTCGCGCCCGTTCAGAACGCCCCAGGAGTGCGAGAGGGACAGGAACGAAACCAGCCTGCCCTTCCGACGTGGTGAACCCTTGCTCGTCTTCCTCGGCCCGATTCGCACTTGAAGGCGATAGCGTCGCGACGACGCGGAAGCTAGCGCAGCGTGCCGAGGACCGATGGGGCGCTGGGCGGCGTCGTTAGCGACGGCGTGCCTGGGCGTGCCCTGCAGGGCCGCGCCGCGACGCGCTCTGGCGGGGCCTGGGTAATTGGAGGTGCCAATTGAAGGGGAGACCAGCAAACCCGCAGCACTGCCGCGGCGGGGTGGACGGCGAGGCCCAAGACGGGGCCCTTTTGCGTTCTGCCTCGGAAAGTGATAAGGCCTGCTTGATGGCTGGCTGTACAGTCCCGGCAAGCAAGGCAAGCACTGCGAGCACTCGACGGCCGGGCCGTGCCACTGGCCGTGCCAGGGCCTTTTGTCCCCAGTCACGTTTCCCGGCCTGCGCCTGGCGCCCTTGGGGCTGCTGCAACCACTGCAGCACTGTGTGGGGTGGGGCGGGGCAGGCGAGTCGATTGGCCTGGTAGGGCTGTTGTGGCGCGCGTTGCAGGCCTTGCAGGCCTTGCGGGCCTTGCCCTTATCGCACTGCAGCTATCTGCCTGGGCCCAGTGTTTGGACAGGCCCGAAAATAGACTGGTTGCCATCCAGAGCCTCGGCCTGCTTGTAGGCGCGCGGCGCTGTCTTGGCTGTGAATGGCGGTCATCTTGTAGCGCCCCGCGATGCGGTGTGTGCACTGTGAGCGCGCCGGAGCACTGACTGCCCGACGGCGCGGCGCGCGGCTTGGCCACCGGTAGTACATGTGACAAGTCTATTTTTAGAGCGATAAAACAGTGCGTCCCGCGGCGCCCCGCCGAGGCTGGCAGCTGGCGGGCCAGGCCGAGGGCCAGGCAGGCCTCTCAGGTTTTTCGACTAGCGGCCCGCCCCGCGCGGCCCCGCGGTGTGCCTCGCGGCTTGGCTGGCCCAGCCTGGCGCGTAGTAAACACGCGACACCGAAAAGGCGACCTTTGTATCCCCGACTCGCTCTGTCATGCTACGGCTTTGCAAACTGTTTGTCCATAACTCGATGGTGTTGGATGTTGCAGGCACATCGTGGAGCGCGAGGGCGTGCGCGCGCTCTTCAAGGGCCTGGGCCCCAACCTGGTGGGCGTGGCGCCGTCGCGCGCCATCTACTTCTGCGCCTACTCGCAGTCCAAGGAGTTCCTCAACACCTGCCTTCCGCCCAACTCCGCCCCGGTGCATGTGGGCTCCGCCTTCTGTGCCGGTCAGTACTTCGGCTATCAGCTGAAAAATAAGGCTTGACCCCGGCCGGGATCGAACCCCCGACCGCGTCTCGCCGCTCGTATCACGCGTTCTCACTCTGGCGCGGTGACGCGCGGAAGTCTAGGCGCCCCCTCGGCCCCTCCCCCTCCTTCCGGTGGGTCCTCTCCCGATTGCGATGCTGCGATTCAGCAGGCCGCCCTTCTGGTGACGGCAGTGCCTGCGAGATTGGCTCGTCCTCTCCGTCTCATCTCGGTGTTATTTCGGCCCTTTGAAGTCCGCCTGGCGGCCAGGGCGTCAAGGTCCCCGTCGACGGCCAGGGGCACTGCGTTTTCGTCGCTGTCTCTCTCGCACTCATGGGGCGTCGCGTGTAGACGGCGACGTAACGATTCTCAGAATCAGTGTAGCAGTGCGGGCTGCGCGTGGCGTGATGCCGCCGTGATAAGGCGGCGACACTGGTGCACTGGACGGCGTCCGACGGGGTCCGACGGGGTCGCTGGGGTTGGCGGCGACCCCGGCAGTGCCACCGGTAGTGCGGGCACCCCGGCCGACGCGTAGACATTCTTGAAAGGAAAGTGGCGGCGGCGATAGCAGTGCGGGTGATTACGGTGCAGGCCCCGTTTGAAGAAGACCCCTCGAGACTTGAAGAAGAAGAAGAAGGAACGCGGAGGAATACTCTCCGGTTATCTTAGCCGCAGTAGCCGAGAGGCGGGACGGGTGACGGCTTACCTCGCCGCTATCTCCGCCGCGGGCCGCGCGACGAGGAGCGAAACGAGTCCCCGCGACTCACCTGCGTCGCGCAATCGGGGGCACGGTGTGTGAACCGACCCTCTCGAGATTCGGTTTTCCGTTCGGCCTGTCGCGATAGAAAATGAAATGAAGAACGAGGTGGCGGCGTGGCGCTGGTCGTTGCACCTCCCGCTGGGCGTGGGAGTGGTGGTGGCCGCGGTGGCCGCGGTGGCGGTGACCCAGGGGCCGCCAGGATGCGCACTGCGTCATGCACGAGACCATGCGGTGGCCGCGTGTCCACGTGACACCATGACCGCGCTAATCGTTGGCCTCCGCGCCCCCGGTGGGGCAGGGCCGGCCGGCCGGCCCGAGCGCCTACGCTCGCACTGATACGCCAGCTGATTGTGTGCAAGTCCTGTGTGTGCGAGCCGAGGGCACGCGCCGGTCGGGTTCGAATCCCGCCGACGGCGGCAGGATTTTTTTGTGTCGCCGCGCGGTTTATTGGCCGTCCGCCAATAATCGGCTGAATTGTTGTTTTCGCGGGCGATTGTATGCCTGCTGTTCAGATAGCGGCGTATTAGTTCAGCGCGCTCGCCTCGCTGCGCCCAGATAACCTGGTTACACGGGGCGGCGCGGGGCGGCGCGGGGCGGCGCGGGGCTGTTCGCACTTCGCAGCCCGCTGGCTGGCAGATGGCGAAAGGGGGAAGGGGCTGAGGCAGCCAGATGCGCCCCGTCCGCGGCCCCGTCCCGTCCCCGTAGTCCCCGTCGATCTGACAGCCCTCGCGCCAAGCTGCGAGCTGCGGTGGGCAGGTTTTTGCGCTCGAACCCGATGTGAGCTCCGAGCGCCGCAGCAGCGGCCTAGTTTCTCATACTCGGCAGCGTGTTTACCGATGCCCAGTCTGTACTGCTGGTGCGAGTCTGAACTGAAGCACGTCCTTGTTGTTGTTGACGCGGCGGACTGCACGCTCGTGTTGTTGCTGTCGTCTCGGCGGTCTCGCGACGAGAATAGGGCCGGGGATGTTTTTCGCTGACCGGGTCGCCACGGCCAGACAACGTCGTGGTGCGCGCGGTGTAACTCGTCCTGCAGGACTCTGGGGAACTGGAGCGGCGGCGAGCAGGACGAGGCCTGCATCGACGCGGCGGTGTGGGGCGGCACGGCGAACGAGCGTCTAGTCACGGAGGCGTAGCGCGGGGGAAGGCCGGGGAAGGGTGCGGTTTGTTTTCGCTCCGTCTCTGTCGCACTCGCGGGCCGCGCGCACGCGCAGGACATGCGTGAGGAGGGGGAGAGCCTTCGCGGCCGGAGCGGCGGAGCTTCCAGCGCTCAGCTGTTGTCGGTGGAGGCGGAGTGGAGTTCTCAAAACAAGCAGCGTTGCCAGCTCGGGCCGTGTTTGTGTGCGTGCGTAGCGTCGGTGGTTATTTGTGATGTGTCGTCGACGCCGAGGCAGCACAGCCGCGTTGGGAGCATGTGGGCTTGCTTGGCTTGCTTGGAGTTCGAGAGGCCGTTGTTTGGGCCGCGGCCTCGCTGCCAACCACGTCGCCGTCCCATGCGCACCGCAGTGCGGGGGCTGGGGGCAGCTGGGGGCTACTTGAACATCCGGTCTGAAGGCGGGGGCGCGGCGCAGTTGTATTCTCTCTGTAGGGGTGGCGCCCCGCGGCCCCTTGCGCTGCCCCGCCTCTGACCGGCCGGGCCCTTGCCCGCACCCTTCCCCCCGCGCCGCGAGTGCAGGGTACCTTGTGGTGCCAAAACATATCGACCCAAGAGAGGGGCGCACCCCGCGGTTAGGGCGGCCGTCGCGGTGCCTCTGCTTCGCCGTGTGCAGGTCATGGCTGCAGCAGTTGAAGTGCGGTGCACGGCCGCGGCCTGCAGAGTGGTTCCCAACAGAGCTTTATCGGCCTGTCTCTCTCGCACCAGGTACGCAAGCCGTTCGAGTGAGAGAGACAGCGACGAAAGCACGGTTCGGAATCGGACTCTGCTGGCTGACGGAAGTCCTTGCTGCTTGAACCTGGCGCGGGGGACGCCGCGGTGGCGCCCACGGCCTACGTGACGCGTGTCAGGACGCCGGGGGTCGTGGGGTGGGGGAAGGGGTGGGCACGGCGCCGCGCACAGTGCGACGTCGAGATGCTGGCCATGACGCGCCGCGCCGTTTTGAGGAAAAAGGACGGCGCCGTCGTCGCGTCACCGCGGCCGAAGTGCCGCTGACGTGCGGTGTCCCCCTGCTGGCGCACGTAACCGTTGACGTGGCCGCGGGGTGGCCGCGCGGTGGCCGGCACACGGTAGGTGAATCACGGTGTGGTGCTTCACCCTCCTCGCGCTGCTGCCTTGACCGGCCTCACCCCCGGCCGCGTGGCCGTGGCGTGGGGCTGCCGGCACCGTCATGTAGGGCAAGGCCATGGTGGTCTGGTGTTCCGTGTCGTCGCCCCGTCGCGGCCCGTCCTCGCACGGGGCTTCCTGGCCATTCTGCATAAGCCGGCCTGAGGGCCGAAGGGAGACAAGGCCTGGCCGCTATTCCCGGCCGATGATCGATTTCTGTGCGGCTGGCGGCGTGGCCCAGGCAGCCCAGGCGTGGCCGAGGCGCTGCACCCCGACCCCCGGTACAAGTTTAGCCCCTCGCCTGGCTGCGTCTTCGAGGACCCGCCAAGCCCTGCGCTGCCGCTGCGGAGGCTTGTGGACTTGTTCCGACAGGTGACGGCCAACACCTGGCCGCTGGCTGTCGATGTCTTTGCCCGTCGCGGTCGTCGCGGTGAAGGGGCGCCCCGGAATGCGGTGGCTGCGGACAGACAACGTCCCTGCCGCGTATCTTGGGGACGCTTTGCGTCGAAGTGAAGTCAAGTACATGCGGAGAGACACTCCGTGCCGAAATTTCAAGTTGGCTTGCGCTGTTTGCCTCGCATGTGTCTTCTCCCATCGTGGGCGCGCACGCCGTTTGACTGCCGTCAGTACGCGCCGCGCCGGCCAGGCCGGCCAGGGCGGTGCCAGGGGCCAGGGCAGACGGTACAGCCCCCTCCGCGACCTTGGCTGCGACTTGGCCGGCCGGCCGGCTGGCCCAAGCAGAGCCCCAAAGGCGGCGCACCCGACTGGCGGCCGGTGCGGTGGGGCGTCCCGGCTGCTCCGCGCCGCATGGCGAGCACGCCGCGTCGGCCACAGCCGGAAGAAACGAACTGTCGCAGAGAGCCTCTTTCAATCAGAGACAAGATTAACCTTCTGGACAACGTGGTAGCGGAAACGCGTATTTATAACGAACACTGCGCCTGCCAATTCTTTGGCCTGAACTCGCCGTGCTCTGCCGCTCTGAGTCGCGGCGGTTCGCGGCTGTCCGACTCGATCCGACGCTCCGCTCGGAATGAAAAATAAGGCAGTGGCGTGTCGAGCGAGGCCAAGGCTGCCTGTTTTTGAATCCTTGTCCGGCTGATAGCGCTGCCGTCCTTGGCGCGAGTATTTTCGAGACTTGGCTGACTGGCGTCGCGGCGCCTCGCCGCTGCCGCTACACTGTACATGGCGCCGCGACGCTGCGTCGCTGCGGCCGCTCTCTTGGCGGGGCTCGGCGGGGGCATCGGCAGGGCATCGACGAGCAAACGAACGACGCAGCGGCAAATGAAAGCGCGGCTCGGCGACGCGGACGTGCGAGGCGCGAGGCAGTCAACCTGCCAGGCTGGCACCACTCGCGGAGCTCTGCCGGTGTAAACACGCTCTGAGTCACGGCGCCCAGCGCGCCCAGCGCCAAGTCGCGCTCGGGGGGAAACGTTTGTTATTTCCAAATTGTGTGTTTGAAAGCCCTTTTGCCTGGCAGCGGCGTTGTGTCCGCGTCGCCCGCCTGGCCCGGCGCACTGGCGCCGTGACGGCAAGGCCAAGGCCTTGTTTACATGCACGCGACTGATTTGGCGTGCCGCCGCTTCCTGCCTGGTGAAGCCTAGTGCCGAGCAAAACGCGCAACGCCGGCCTGGCCGGGACTCGAACCCGCGCCTCGCCCGCTTCTACAGTGCATCCGCCTCGTGGTGACCTTGCACCGCCGTGCAGCGGGCGTGCACCCGCGTGACGCGGCGGCCGGCTCACGGCAGGCAGGCAGGCAGGCAGGCCGGCAGGCCGGTGGCGTGGTGGGCGGCCTGCGACTGAAAGGCCCCGGTGGGGCATCAACAAGACACTTACGGTGGCCGGCTATTTTTACCACGGTGGGCCGAGCCGAGAGCGGGCAGGCCGCGCAGGCTGGCGGTATGGACGCACGGACGGACGGCCAGGACGGGCCAGCTGATGTCAACCACGCTGGCGCCGTGAGGCCCTCTCTCAATGTTAGCCGGCCCTGCGGAGCGCCTAGGCTCGCCTCGCCTCGGCTGTCGTGTCTTCTGGCCATCCGCCAGGGCCTGCTCGGCCTGCTGCGTTGAATCATGGGTAACGGGAAAATGCAGCCAGGCGGCCTTCTCGGAGGGGGCAGGATTATTGATGTCGTCGCAATGACTCGCCTGGGTCGGAGTGCAATGGGCATGGTTGTGGGGCTGGCGCGGCTGGCGGGGCCTCGTGGGCCTATCAGCCTCCAGCGCTGCACCGCGCCCTCCGTCGGCCAACGGCCCCGACCGCGCCACACCCACGCCGCGCCACGCCGCGCAGCGCAGCGCGACAACTGACCATCGCGCCGGCCAACCAGAGAGCCAGCCCGGGCAGCCAGCGGCTCTAGATTGGCGGTACACTGCGAGGAACGTGCGGCAGACTCCGTGGAACAAGGCGGTGGCCGCCGTCTGCAGTCCACCGCTCGACGGGGACAGTAATCTCCGAGGCCCGTCGGCTGTCCGACAATGCCGAGCCGAGTCGGTAGAAGTTTCCGCTTGATTTTGGTCTGAGAATGAAACGGATCGGCCGGCGGCAGTGAGGCGTGCGTGGGGCGGGTGGGGCCGGGGGCGGCACTTGTGGGGCGTCCGCTGCTTTCGCTTTCGGTTTTGGGGGTCTGGGCACGCCCAGGGGAACGCCCAGGGCACGCATGTCGCTGTCGCAGGGCTTCGGTCGGTCGACAGTGCAGGCGGTTCCATGGGCGCGTGTGCAAAGGTCGCGGTGGTGTCCAGGTCGACCTACTGAGTGCTGAGCTGCGGCGTAGAGGCGATTGTGTGTCACCGTGGCGTGTTTGTCTGTACTCGCCTCGCCGGTCGGCTGGAGCGCGGATCGGCTTGGAGCTCCGCTAGCGCGTTGCGTAACTTATTTGCAGAGTCTCGTCCGTTTGGTCTGCCCTGTGCCGCGCCGCCCGGTAGGGGTTTTATTTTTGCCCACCGCTTCCTCTGCCGCCCTGCCCGCCCTGCCCGCCCTGCCCCCAGCAGACAGGCAAGCCGATTCTGAACAGTGCCTCGTCGCTCTGTCTCTCTCGCACCGCCGCGGAGTGCGATTGAGGCACTGCAGGCAGGCCGCCGTCCCGTCGTTAGCTGCTGAATGGCCCGTTTGCGTGGCGCGGCCGCCCGCCCGTTTTCTGCGTAGTTGCGGCCTCAAGCTGCAGCGCGGGGAGCGCCCGGCAGGCAGGCAACCGAGGGGCGAACGCGGCACGGGTGCGGGAGGGTTGCCTACCTGCCGGGCGGCTCGGTCCGGCAGGCGTCCGGCCGAGGCCGAAACCGCATGCGTTGCAGTTCGGCGGCGACGTGCTGACAGTCGCGCTGGCACTGTACTCTGTGAAAGACCGGGTTAGCTGTGCCGCGCTCGTTCTGGAGCCCCTCGACCCCTGGTCCCTCGCGGTCGCCCATGACCAGGCGGCGCGAGAGGGCCTTATTTTGGTCGTCACTGATTGCCGCTTTGACCGCCAGTGATGGGCCGCGAGCCTGTTTGTCCCGCGGGCCGCAGCAGGGGGCTCATGTGGACGCCTTGCGGACACCGAATGGAGCGACGCAGGCGCTCTCCAGAATGGCTCTGCAGGCCGGACCACAGGGAACTCGATAGCACGGGGCTCCCGGCCCTCGCGGTACACCGGCTGGGCTATCCTGCGCGAGGCCAGGCCGCGGTGGCCGCTGGCCGCGCCGCGCAAGTAAACAACATTCCACGGGCCGCCTTGCCCTATTCCGCGCCGCTCGCTGCATTAATGCCCAAGCAATGTTTGTTGAACAGGTTTGAAAGGGATTTCGCCACCGCGATGGCCGCAGCGGAGTGGCACACTTTCGGGCCGAGGCTCGGATTGGATCGGATTTGGGAGTGTGATTTCTGATTGGCTCCCTCTACTCGCGTGTTGCAGGCTTCGTGGCGTGCTCCGCCACCAACCCCATCTGGCTCGTGAAGACGCGGCTGCAGCTGGACCACAACGCCGACGGCCGGCCCATGACGGCCAAGCAGGTCATCCGGAGGGTGTACAGGCTAGGGGTGAGTTCTGAGTACATGAGTCGCAAGTGTGCTCGTCTGTTCGTTGCGGGGCTTTAACCGCAGTCGTGTCTGTTGCAGGGCCTCAAGGGCTTCTACAAAGGCGTCACGGCGTCGTACTTCGGCATCGCGGAGACGGTCATCCATTTCGTCATCTACGAGGCCATCAAGGCCAAGCTGTCCTCCGTCCGAGCGCCCTCCCCAGACGACTCTAAGTCCTCCAGAGACTTCTTGGAGTTCATGGTGGCGGGGGCGTTCTCCAAGACCGTGGCCTCGTGCATCGCCTATCCCCACGGTGAGCGTGCCGCTTCAGCGCTGCACTTGGAGTTAGAAAGTCCGCGTTCGGCGCGGTGGCGGCCTGCCGGCCTGTCGCCGTGGAGCGAGACTTTCTCGTCTTAAATGCCTCAAGTCGTTGACGTTATCGCAGCGATGCGAATGTCAAATTCGCGGAGATTGAGATTTGGGGCGTGCGTCACCGTTTATCAATGGTCTCGGTTCGGGTTCGGGTCTCCGGCGTGCTTACTGCGCAGTGCGATGGGCGGATGGGCGATGGATGCCATGCCGCAGTGCGCAGCCACGGCGCAGCCATCCCATTCCCATCCCAGCGGATGCCACGCCGATGCCGGCGAGTGGTGGGAGAGGGGCTCGACCCGACCGGGGGAGGGGAAGGGGAGTCTCGCGCTGTAGTTCGCTCGTTGGCCGCGAGAGGCAGCACCGGTCGAACAAGTCTCGCGGACACGACACCAGATGGCGCTCCCGTCGTGGGGAACCCTGATATGAATGTGAATGTGTGCGCCTTGCGCAGTGCCGCCAAGATTCAGGCCCCGGTGTTGTGTGTGTTGCTCAATTTTGTGTATTGTGTTTCTAATGTTAGTTTTGTTTGTGTTTTCCAGAGGTGGCACGCACACGGCTAAGGGAAGAGGGCACCAAGTACCGCTCATTCTTCCAAACTTTGAGCGTGGTCATGGCTGAAGAGGGATACCGAGGACTGTACAGGGGACTGTGGACCCAACTAGTCCGACAAATTCCAAACACAGCCATCATGATGGCTACTTATGAAGCTGTTGTTTATGTTCTTACTCGTCACTATGGGCACCAAGAAGAAACCCAATTTTATGATGTTGATGAAATAGAAGATGATGATTTAAGGCATAAGATGTAGGAGTCATGTCTATTTTATTATTATTTTTAAGAAAAGAAGAAGAAAATCAGTATTCTATGTAATACATGAAAGTTCTACTTTGCATCTCTCTTTCAACAGCAAGAATAAGACAGTATTTTTATTATTATTTTGTTTCCGCTTTAAAAAATAGTGTCTGCCTTGACTTGTGGATAATTTTAGTAATCTTCAGGAGATACATGTTTTGTAGTGCCATCCATTTTGATTGAAAGTTAATTTTTAAGCCAGCCTCCTGGCTTCCTGGCTCTTGTTTTGTAATCAAAAAGTTTCCACCGCTGGTTGAAGGCTGAGAAATGGTGGTATTTGGAATTTGTCATGTTTGTTTCTCGGTCAATAACTCCTTTCATACTTAACTTTATGTCAGTTGACTGCAATGTAATCTGTTTCCATTACACTAGTCTCCATTTCGTCATTTTAGTCATGTTTATAAAGCAGAAATTGGAACATTTTCTGTTGTTTTCTACCCATTTTGTTAGTGTTGAGGCTGTTGTTTAGGTGCCACATCTATCCATCACACTTGTTAGTTGCTCATGGTAATACTTTTGAACTAGATGTTAGTTCGGATATTTATCAAAATGTTAAAATAGGATAGCCATTCACAACTTTGTGAATATTTGATTTTACAGGAGGCTTCATTGCATTGTCACGTCACCTCAATGGAACCTCAAAGCTTTGAATTTATTTTGTGCTGTGTATGCGGCTGTTGAGAGGTCAAGTGTTGCCCTTTTTCTTGTTTTTCTTATTGTAGACCTCAGCTTAATATTTCCCCCTTGTTTTAGCTGAGAAAGTTATGCTTAAGTTATATTCTAGTTGCTGAAAAGTGAGGGTAATTTGTAATAACTTACTATAAGACTGAAGCTAGGGTTTGCTTGATAGTGAGAGTTCAGAATGAGCTCAAATTTCTTTGTTTTCCTTTCTATTGTATAATACATAAACCTGTGGTAAGAATGTGATATCTATATTTGACCTGAAGAACTATCATAGTTTTAATGAGACGTTGGGTGTGAATGAATTTTCCTCCTTCGGTTTAAAATTTTAATTTCTGTCATCAGTGCACCATATTATGACCTGTTAATGAACTGTTATAAAATCATGTTGACCACTGTATCTTTTTATTCTTTTAAGGCAATTTGTGTGCCTACACGTATATTTTTGGGTTAATGCTGCTAATCTTTATGATGGTTTTTTTTTTTCCATGTGATTATGCTCAAGAGCATATACAGATCCCTTATGTAAAGGTACCAAGTTTGGTTAAAATTGTCTCTCTCGTGTTTTTGTGAGTTTCTGCAAACAATTTGATTGTGCACATGGGTATTGTGTAGCACAACTCCTGAGGCTGCTGTTATAAATATTTATCTGTGTCTGTTCAGCAATGTCTAGTTCTGCAATGTCATCAAAAATAACTTATGAAGGGAGCCAAAGCATTTTTTATAAATTTACAAATAAGTCACTGAGAATCTAAATTTAGTGAAGATGTATAAATTGGGAATACCAGCAAGGCAGAATCAGTAGACTTGACTTGGTTAACATGGCAGTCAAAGGGAGTTTTTTTTCTATAACGATTTTGCACAGTACTTATTTGCTTGTTGGTCTAAATCAATTTTACCGATGACTTTAGAGGAAATTATACCAAATACTTGTCTTGAAAATTAAATAAAACACACTGGGCCCCTGTTTTCAAAGGCCAAGTAGATGTGATTTTATATTTGAGTTATGATGGTTGTATGTTATTTTGTAGATATTGCTCTATTAAATTTCTAAACTAACTTCTGCATCTTTACTAGGACTTCTCCCTCATCGACTCACCCAAGTACACTACCGATCTCCGTGAATGAAATTCACTAACTGCAGTAGCAGTCCAACGACTGAACACACAGTGGCTGATATCTATGGATGGAAGCTTGCGTCGCCATTGATAAGTCCTTTATTTTTACTGAAGGAAGTTTGTGTCGGTATTAGAGTAGCTTTTTTTCGTGCTGAATTTCTAATAACCTTGTGGCGAAGAGGCAATGCCTTCCATACACCTGGGACATCGAGTAATTACACTAGAAGGGAAAAAAACAGTGAGCGCGCCAGACAAGGTAGGCAACCCAACCAACGCGGCTGGTCTGCGTAGGCGCTGTAGTAGCATTGCACGCTTTCAATCGTAGACGAGCTCAAGGAGCGCCTAATGGATCAAGCCTGTAAAGAGGTGCCAGATGAGTTCTGGTGTGACTTGTGTCAGTATTCAAGGCTAATTATTATATTTTATTTGACTTAAAATAAGCACATAATGTACACATGCCCCCAGAACAATTATTAACAATGCTTCTTAATATCTACAAATTTGACACAGGGCGAATTTATAAATATTTGGCATTTTACAGGAGTTGATAAAAAGGGGAAGCATAATTAAAACACCCATTTATTAATCTAAACAGCACCAATAAAACAAAACAAACAACAACTTAGTCATGTATAAAGACAGCGTAAAGTATTTCAGTTATGACATGATATATGATGATCTATGATTGTGCGAATAAGATGAACATTTTTGATGATACACTATGAATAATCTCAAATCTCTCACCTCATTCAAACAAAATGACATCGAACAGAAATAACAAAAATATATATATATTTATGTATTGCACTGCAAACATAGCAGAAGTCGAAAAAAGAAAAGGAAATAAAGGAGAGACAGGGGAGAAATAGGGGAGACAGAGAGAGCAAGTGCGTCGGTGAGCAGGACGCAGAGCGGCCGCTCAACCGAGAGTTCTTGGCCGAGTGTCCCTGGCTGAGACTCACATGCGCACGCTGCACACACAGCAGAAGTTGACGGCGCGGAGCTCCCAAACCCAGAGGTCGCGGAGTTCGCCGGGCAGGCCGACGGTGGACTCCTCCAGCGGGAGGTCCCCGGCGGGCGCGCACACGCCCTCGCGTCGCCGCAGCACCTTGACGGAAAAGGAGCGCGGCCTGCACACAAAGCCGGACCCCGTGCAGGTGTGGTGGCCGCAGTCCGCAGAGCGCAGGAACCGCGGGAAATAGTCGGGACCTAGGTCCAGCCAGCGCAGCGGGGACTCGCAGTGCCACTGCATGTCCTTGCTCAGGGCGGCCAGAGACATGCCGCCCCACACGGCCCGGCCCGCGCGCCCGCTGCCGTCCGCCAAGGCGTCCGCCGTGCCTCCGTCGTCGAGCTGCTCCGGGTCGTGCTGGCGGACCCGACGGCCCGCCGACGTGCGGTAGTTGACGCCGCCGCCGTACGATTCTGCGTCGCCGCTCAACGTGACCGTCGGCATGTCGTAGCGCACCTGCCAGGCCGGATCGTTGCTGAGCACCTCGTGGAAGTCCTCGTCCACGGAGAACGGACTGCAAAACAAACATGCCAAAATTAGCTCCGAGACGCCAACTTTACAATACTTTGGACCGGCATGGCACGGGTCTTACTTGGCTGGCCCAGGAGCGTCGCGGGTCCACGGCGACTCCTTGAGCACGCGGCTGGAGTGCTGCTCGAAGTCGCCGGCACCACCGTCGTCCATCCCGGGGCCGCGGCCTCGGGACTGGAAGGCGCCGTAGCCACCGCGCGGGTCCTCCAGGGAGAAGGCCATGTAGGCCGGGTTGTAGGCGGGGCCAAGAACCTGCAGCAGGACAAGAGTGTCAATGACAATGCGCAACGACGCCATGACGCGCTGAGGGAGGCAGAGCGAGGCAGAGCGAGGCGATTGGCTTATCGGCGTGGACGCTATCTTCCCAGAGGCGTGCGCTGTGTTTACGGTCTTTACGCACTGGCCTGCACTGGCCGCGCAGCGCGAAGCGATTGCTGCACCGCCGGGCCGCCGCCGAGCCGCCGCCGCCCCCAGCAGGGAATTCCCAGCGAACTACAGTGGTACAGACCTGGCGCAGCACTCTGTTGGACAGCGCGGCGCACCGACGCTGCTGGCTCGCGGTGGGGCCGCCGGCATGGCCGCCGGCATGGCCGCCGGCATGGCCGCCGGCATGGCTGCCCGCCCCGGACGCGTGGCTCGACGACGGCAAAGGGTTGTCGTCCTCGACGGAGGGCCCCGGCGCCAGGCGGCCGCCGTGCGGGAGTCGCGCTGCCGCCACCCCCACCCCCGCGCACCACCCCAACAGCACGAACAGGCACAGCAGCAGAGGCAGAGGCAGCGGGGGTGCAGTCAGAGGCCCGCCACACCGGCCCATGGTCCGGCCGAGGGCGGAGGCCCCGATCCATCCATCGCCGTACACCGCGACCACTGGAACAACAAGCAGAGGGGTGTTAAGAACGCGAGGGGGCTTCGGGGTGGTTCACCCTCGGGGGGTGCGCGCTCTGCGTACCGGTGCGTCCTCCTGACGCCGCGCCGTGCTCACGGCCGCCAGGGCGGTTTGGTGCCGCCGTGACGAGAGCCTGTCGACCGCGGCGTGGTTCTCGACGGGGTCCTGGACGTGCTCGCGACCGCATGCTGATCGGGCTGCTCGGCCTCTTGGGCATTGTCGTCTTGGGCGGGAGCGTCCACGGCGGCTCGGCTGGCCAGAGACGCCACGCCGCCCCGCCGCGCTGTACCGCCCCGCCGCGCTGTGCCGCCGCGGCCCCCCCGACCCGCTCCTCTGCCGGGGCTCGGCCTGGGGCTGGGGCCGCGGCTCGGGCAGCGCGGGGCGTCCCTGCCGTCCCGACCACGACCCCGATTGCGACACCGCCGGTGGCAGTTTGGGCCTACGAAAGGGGCAGCGCAGCAGCGCGTTGCAAAATGCAGTGTTGGTTCGGCCATTATCTGTGGCCCGGCTGGTCCGAGCGGGGCGTGAACGCCACGCACCGCCACGCGCAGCGAGCGGCGCGCGCCAGTCACCGGCAGGCAGTGCCACAGCGAGGCAGCTAAGGGTGGGCACTGCATCGGCATCGTGGCACTGCACACGGCGAAAGGCGAAAGGCGAGAGGAGGTCCTTGCCTGTCACAGTAACGCACACAAACGTTTCCTCTGCGGCCGCGCGGCGTCGTTGTTGGCGTAGTCGCGACACGGGCAGTGGCACGCAGGGTTGTAGCAGGGCCGCATGCCGCCAGCCCCCGGCGTCTGCAGGGGACGGCGGAAGGGTTAGAGGACGCTCCAACGGACCGTGGCGATGACGTGGACGTGACCTACGTGACCAACGTGGGTGGGGCTCGGCGGGGCGTACGCGGTGCGGGCCGGCTGGTACGCGGGGCTGGAGTAGGCCGCCGGGGGCGGCGGGGAGGGCGCCGTGCTGTACGACTATGGGGTAGATAACTGGGTCAGAGACGGGATCTGCGGCTAAGCCCTAGCAGAGTGCTGAGTGGCTCACGGACGGACTGACCGGCGAGGGCGGTATCCTGACGGGGTAGGACGGCTGCACCATGAGGGAAGGCCGTGGGGGAGGCTGTGGGGAGGGCGGCGGCAGCGGGGGCGGCGCCGATAAAAGTTCCTGCATCGCCCGAAACCGCGGCCGGTACGGGCAGTTGGGGTTGGTGCACTCTTCGGCCTGCGACGGGTTCTCGCGACAGCTGCAGCCGCAGCCCCCGTCCGGGGGTGTCCTGGACAGCACGCCCGGGTCGAAGGAGGACGGCGAAGACGCTGGCCTTGGCGGCGCGAGGGCGCCCGGCGTTGACCGCATCACCGGCCGGGACAGCGAGGACGTCGGCAGCGGGGCGGACTGGGACTGGTCCAGCTAATGGGTATGGCAGGGTCGTGGGTTCGAATCACGCTGGAACCCAGCGCTTTTCGGTAGGGCGTTGCTCTTACTGGCTGGTTGTTGAGCGTGGCCCGGACGTTGTAGTTCGGCGAGCCTCCGGGGGGCGTGGGCAGCAGCTCCAGGCTCACCACCACCCGCACCTCGCACCAGGAGGCAAACGGAACGCGTTAAACACGTCAGTTGACTCGTCATTTGGCCCGGCGATGACGTTTTGGGGCGACCGGTGCAGGCCGCCCGCCCTGCAGGCCATCATGGCGCGGGGAAACCCGGCAGTCCTGCGGGTCCTCGTGGTCGCCGTGGCGGCGTAGGGAGAAGGTCGCGTTCGAAACGCGACGTCTATGCCACGCGCACGACCTCCACGGCCTCGCACTGGCAGCGGCCAGCACTTCGGGCTCACTCCGGACGCCACCCGGCTTGGCACGGCAGTGCACGGTAGCCCGGCAAGTGGAGGCAGTCACCACAACTGACGGGCACGGCACGGCACGGCCGGCCCGGTCTGTCTGGCCACGGCCCCGTCAGCATCGAAAGTGGCGCCTTGGCTGGGATTCAACGAATCGGCCATATCACTGCTACTTGCTACTATATACAGGAGTGACCCCACACGAATCACCTGCAGAGTACAGTCAGCGGCAGAAGTTGCGTCCGCCGCGGCGCAGGGCGATGTTTACGCATGCGAGTTCGCGGTGGCGACTTTAATCCCAGGCAAAACCCACGGGACCTCGTTTGTCTACGCCTTTTCCCCGCTTTCCAGGACGCCGAGAGGCCGAGACGCCGAGCCCGACTTTTCCACACAGGTGCACCCTGGTGCAGCGCCTGGATGTCGTGTCCGAGCTCACCTGGCGGCAACCGTCCTTGTCACCCATGGCGGTCGGCCCGGGTCGGCCCGGGTCGGCCCTGGAAGCGAGGAGGGGCGGGGAGGTCGAGGAAGGCGCACCGGCTCGCCCTGCAACAACCCTTGCCTCGGCCGCCTCTACCGCCTCGGCGCGGCGCGCGGTTGCTAGGCAGCGCGGCAACGCGCACTTTGTCGGCGACCTGTGGTGCACAACTGCACAACGAGTGTACGAGCAAGCACAGCGTACTTCCCGGAGAGAAGAATTCCCACTGGCTTCTCCGGGACTGAGAAACCAGTCGGAGGATTTGGGGTTCGAGTCCCCGCGCCCGTTTTCGCGTGGGGTCCGCTCTGGGATGAGCCCTGAGTCGGAGGAGCACCGTTGGCGTCCTACCGTGTCCTAGCCCGGCCCGGCTGGTCAGCCTACAGAAGGGCGGCCCTGAGCGTTCCGCGACCCTCGACGCCGAGGTGTGTGGCGCTGGCGCCGCGTGGCGTGCGCCGTACGGTAGTAGTACTTACAGTCCCAAGTCGAGGACTCCGCCAGAAAGCCGGTGTGGGCAAACCCCGGTAAATCTCCGGACCACGGCACACTGGACTGCAGCTCCACGGCCACGGCAGGACAGTCGGTGCTGGCGCCTCCCTCCCCCTCCCCTCGGCCAGAGAGCATCGCCGCCCCACCCCGCCCCGCCCTCGGCGGTGCGGCGTCACGCAACACAGGTGGCGATTAGGGTTAGGGAGAGAACGGCCGACGCGCCCGGCCGCCGTGCCAGCGTTCCAGTTCTCTAACCCTTATCCGAGGGGCTTAGCAGGCCGGCTGCATTCCTCACAATTAGAAGCAGTGCCGTGTTATCCCTCAAACCCGAACCGAAGCCAAGCAAGGCCCGGCCAAGCCTGGCCAAGCCAAGACCGAAAGAGAGAAGAAAGTGGGGTCAACGCTCCGGAGGGGCTGGCTACGGCCCCGGCCACGGCCACGACGTGGGTACCACCTCCGCCCACGCCCCGTGCCTCGACGGCCCCGGCCCAGCCTGGACTAGCCAGCCTCCGCGCATACTGACGCAGGGTGTCCCCTGGGTGTCCCCTGGGTGTCCCTGGAGCCAGTAGCGAGAATCCCCTCAGGGAACTTTCCCGAACCAGCTGCGACGGTTCGGAAAAACGCACAAAAAACAACGAAAAAGACAAACAAAAGCAACCTGCTTATTTTTGAAAACACAAAATCATTTCAACTGATTGAATTTTTAAAAGTTTTTTCCGGGTTGAGTAAGGTTTAAAGACAAACCGTTCAAAGACAGAACGGGCAGACAGAGAAGATAACCGAGCCCCGCGGAAGCCATTCGACAAACACAAAAATAGAGCAATTACTGAAATTGAATTTGACGAACCTACCTTTCGTGTCGCGAAGACCAGTCCCAAGTCGTCGCGAGAGTCGCTGCAGGGTATCCAGTTAGGGGCGCGCCTCGTTCAGCTCCCTATCCGATAAGGCATGGCTGTCATACAGTGCCACTCATGTCACACTCTGGTTGCGTCACGACTGCGTCACGACGGCTGGCCGAAAGCCGCAACCTCGCCGTTGAGGAAGGGCCAGGATGACATTCCACCAGGACCACGATGGCCACGACGCTCACGGCCACGAGACCGACCTCGACGAGCTCAGCCAAACGACTAAAGCTCCGCAACGATGTCCCAGTCCAACTAAACTCCAACTGACCCTCGACGGGGTCCAGGCAGCAGGCTGGCGGGGCGGGCCGCCCGGATCCGGATCGCCCGGGCCGAGCACCGCCGAGCCGAGCGCGGCGACGGCGGGCCGAAGACGGCTCCCCACTCTTCTGCCCCAGCCCCGCGCCCCTCCCTCCCTTCCCCGGAGACTTGCTCACCCCCAGCCCCAGCCCCGCCCCAACCAAGAAGCGAAGAAAACGCTACATACCTTTATTTTTGCGCGCCTGACACTCATCGCGCTAATGACATGAAGTAATGTACTCGCAGCACAACAATACTCTCTTTTCCAGGAAGGCGGCCAAGGACGAGTCCTTGATTCCCACCCTCCCCCTATTCCTCTTCTCCCAGCGCGCGCGAAAACAAAGCGAGAAAAAAGCGCAGTCTTTACGCTTTCACTCAGTGGTCAGAGAAGTCAGGGCAGGGCAGAACAATACCCCACCCCACCATAAATATTGACGTGTGTCAGTCACCACCGTGTCACTTGCGTGTCGCGTTGACGCCTCATCGTCCTGGTCCAGGTGGCGCCTGCCTCTCCCTCCCCAACTGTCTCTCTCGCACCCATTGTCGGGGCGCGACGAGCAACAGAGACAAGTTTCCCCCTCGCTCGAAGTGCAGCAGCAGCAGGTACCTACCACTACACAAAGGAACTTCGGCTGCCAAACACGCAACGGCGTCGACCCTCACGCGTCTCTGATTGGGTCCTTGGTGGGGTTCGTAGAAAATGACGAGTTTGGTTGGCAACTTGGCGAACGAGGCAGGTAAACAGGGACGGCGATTTACAGCCGACTCACTATACACCCTACACGCGGGGCCGGGAGTGTTTCGACACACGACTAGGGATCTCTAGGGGACTCGACTAGGTTGTCTGTATTCCCAGGGGATCTCGAAATGCAAGGGGCTGATGCAACAAATGCAACAGTGCGCTGCGACTCAGCGCGGTCCGCGGCCAGCGGCACCGCCAGCGCCCGCCTGCGAGGTGGGCAACTTATTTGACACCGAGGTTGGGTGTTGAAGCCATTTATAGTTCTCCTGGTTGCGGTGGCGTGGAGCTGGTCAGCTTGCTGGCGTTCCGCGTTTTATCCGTTTGATGCGGAGGATCGGGAACTGGTGAAAAAGCAAATGGGCGCCTTTATCTATTTACAAATGGTTTATTGTCACTGTCAGATGTATGGAGGCTATGTACACGTTGTTCAGGTTGGGGGCAACAGTGAGCAACTGTAACATTTTCACCAAATGCTCACTGTCACTGGGTGACTCATTACATGACACATGCAGCAAACTAGTTGGTGCACCAAATCTTATCCAACAAAACGCCAAAATTTTAAAAAATTACATGCCTCTTTCTTGAAAATAAACCACATCAAGTGGATGTTTAATAAAGCATTCTTAATTTTTTCTTCGCAGTTACAAAAGCCAATAAATATATTTAAATATATATGCAATTTAATAATTAAATAATCCTAAAAAAAACAAAAAACAACAAGAACAGACCAAAATTTGCACAGATTTGTGGTAAGTACGGGGGACATACAAAGAACTATTCATGGTATTCCTGAGACATTTACTTTTTGGTTCACATTTTCAAAGAGGCACTTCGGTTACCTCTCACATCTGCTCTTCACATTTTTACCAGTTTTATGTAGCCACACAAACATCAGTCAAATGTTTCTTCCTGTGTGACTCCTACAACACCCAAGAAATATGTTACTTGGTACACAGAAACACGTTTGCACCCCCTGTAAATGCTTCTTCCTCGAGCCTTTCAATGGCATGACTAACAGCTTTTTACAGTAAATGGCCTTAACAGTATTACACTTCAGAAATAATGCAAGACCCAGCGAATAGTTTTAAAAATTTGCTGGCTGAAAACTCCCTTACCAAAAAGTTGGTTTGGAAAAATATGAATGCAATTTAGTTTCATCTTTTTTTAAAAAAAAAATCATAGAAGAAAAATCTACACAAAAGAGATAAAAACTTTTGATCTAAGACCAAAGAAAGCAACTAGAATTTAATTTCAAATGATCCATTGTTGATGCTGGATGACTCATATGACTCAAATTTGAAATAGTTCTACAGGCATGAGTACATTATATTTTCTGAAGATCACCAGACTAAGATAAATCAAGCATTCTAAGAGTGTCCCCAGCTTTTAATTTATCACAAGCAAACTGCTGCATCGTTCATGAACTAGTACACCCTTAGGCTGCTTACATTTATTGATTTTAATGTAATCGCTTACTGAAAGCTATCATTTCATTTTTCTGAGGTAAATGACTAATAAACTGTCATTAGTAACGAGATCCACAATGAACAAATACTATCTTTCATTTTAAAATCATTCACATTTAAAATTTTAAGTTTTCAGGTTAAAAGTGAGGGACACTTATCTGCATAACATTTATATAATAAAAGGAACTTTGAAAGTTCAGCCGCATTCAAGATCTAAGCGGCACCTAAATGGAATAGATTCATCGCAAGAATAAATATGGCACAGAATTTTTTTAATAATAAAATACAAAGAATACCTATAATGACATAGAATGGGCACCAAGTAGGGAGCAAAATTTCCTAAAAATATGCAATTTTCAATTCATTTATATTTTATCAGCCAGAGGCTTTACAATGATTTTGGATAGGATCTGCCAGGTAATGACTATCATGACTTTAAAGGTATTCCTTTGCTATTGGTAGCAAAAATTGCACTTAAAACAGGAAAGGAAAAATAATAACTACCGCCGTTTGTCTCAGCAACTGACGTATTCGTATTTTTCAGCCACCCATTAAGTAAAAACGAATGTTTGAAATTTATGCCTGACTAGCCTGATGAGAACGACGCGCGCGTCGGAGTCGCGTCTCCAAATGTCTCTCCTGCCAAACTGCGGCACTGCCCGCTCGAGCGCGAGGCGGGGCGTGGCGGGGCGGCGTCGAGGGAATGTCCACAATGGTTGACGCGCCCTCCGCTCCGCCACCGTGGCGGCTACAAGCGGCGATAACAGCAGCTTCTACAGTGCCGAGGGGGCCACGCGGCCTAGGCGGGGCCTGCCCCGTCAAGACACTACTAGTGCAGTGCTCTGCGTGACCGCGCGTTTTCTGTGATTCTACGCGAATGAAGCTCGCTTGGCGGAGCGCGGAGCTGGGGCTGGCGAAGCTCGGCAAGCCGCGCCGACTGGCACACGCGCACACTCGCGGCGGCACTGGCGCACCCCGGGGCCTGACTGGGACCACTGGAACCGCGTCGCCTACAAGCACTACAAGCAGCGCTTCGAGCAGCAGTTCCAGCCTGGCGGCTCGCAGCGGAAGGACTCAACGCGCCCCTCGGCCGACTCAGGTGTTGTCCTCGTCGTCCAGGTGGTCCAGGTGGTCCAGGTGGTCCAGGTTGACCCGCGCGCCGAGGCCGAGGTTCATCGACGACGGCGACGACAGCTCCCGGCTGTCGTCGTGGCCCTTGTAGCGGCCGCGGCCCGCGCCGGACGCCTTCTTGCGGTCGTTCTTCTTGGGCACCACCTCGCAGCTGCAGCCCGAGCGCAGCCGAATGTAGTCCAGCTTCCAGCCGGCCGAGCCACCCGGGAACAGCCCGTTGGGGTGGTGCGCGCCCGGTGCGCCCTGCGCGTCGCGGTGCGCGTCGTGTGCGGCGTCATGCCGCACGATGGCGTACTGGTAGCCGTGCTTCTGCGCGCAGTGCGACTGGTTGCGCAGCTTGCTGGCCACGAAGCGGCACGGCCGGTTCAGCACGTCGGGCCGGCACGAGTACTCGAAGAAGCGCTGCGTCTCGTTGTTGGGGTTGTTGCCGACGTACAGGTCGACGAGCAGGCCGTCCTGGTTGATGCCTTTCCGGGGCTCTATCACCTCCATGACGGCCGGGCAGCAGTCTACGGGGCGGCCCTCCGCGCCCCCCTCGAGACGCAGCATCTTCTGCATTCGGGCGGGCGAGAATTCGTCCTGCCTGCTGACCAACAAGAAAAAGAAAAAGGAACTTTAAAAGACACACTGGGCTTGAAACGGCAAGTAATCCAAAGTCAATTCCAAGTAAAAGTCACCTCACCTGCGAGCGGCGTGCCGGTAATGCCTCACGTTGCCCTCTCTCTCAAACGCGCGAACCTCGGCGGCCAGGCAGAGCACCTGCAGCAGGACACACAGGGGTCAGACATGGAGACGGAACAACGGCGCGATCAACAACACTTCTGTCACAGCTCGGCCGGCTCGGCGGGCTGCGCGCTGGGTGGGAGGCCGTCCTGTCCTGACGTACGGTCCTGACCAGTCATGACCCAACGCGACGTGGACGAGCGTGCTGTGGGTGCTCTCCGTGATCCCCCGGTCACGCCGACTGCTTTCCTTCCCCAAATGCTGAGCTTATCATCGTTTGGACGCCGCCCGCCGCCTTCGTCACGGAGTGCGGGAGGTCCGAGGGGGGCTCAGGGTGCTGACCGAAGGGACCGAAGGGACCGAAGCCGCCACTTCCCAGGGAAGTCCATATCCCAGCGGTTCCCAACCTTTTTCGGTTCGCGACCCCAAATTTGTAACAAAAAATTTCCGCGACCCCCAGGAAGAAATTTCGCGACCCCACGCGACCCCTCCTTTAGCATGCCTTTGATACAAAGGGCGATAATCCACCTTATTTTGGGAGCAGTATTGCCGCAAAGTTGATCAAAACGGCCACAAATGTCTTTTAAAAATCGTGTTTTGGGCTGACTTTAAGCAGCCACTGCGTTTGATCCGAGGCGGTATTTCGTCCTCCCTCAACGGGCATTTGGTCTTTGGACCTTCCTTTAGCATGCCTTTGTTACGGAGTGTGATTATCTGCCTTAGTTTGGGAGCAGTATTGTCTCAAAGTTGATGAAAACAGTAAAAAATGCCTTTGAATGCCATTTTGATCCACTTTGAGACAATACTGCTCCCAAACTAAGGCAGATAATCACACTCCGTAACAAAGGCATGCTAAAGGAAGGTCCAAAGAACAAATGCCCGTTGAGGGAGAACGAAATACCGCCTCGGATCAGACGCAGTTGCTGCTTAAAGTCGGCCTAAAACACGAGTTTTCAAAGGCATTTTCGACCGTTTTGAACAATTCTGCCAGCCGGGAAACAGCCGCGACCCCAGGCGACCCCAACCACCTCGCCGCGACCCCTCAAAATTTTTTCGCGACCCCCTTTGGGGTCGCGACCCCACGGTTGGGAACCGCTGCCATATCCTGACCCCGGCGGACGAGGTAGCGTTCGAGGCGTCCGCGTCAGGGCCCGCCCCCAGGCCCCAGGCCCCAGGCCCCAGGCCCCAGGCCCCAGGCCCCAGGCCCCAGGCCCCAGGCCCCAGGCCCCAGGCCCCAGGCCCCAGGCCCCAGGCCCCAGGCCCCAGGCCCCAGGCCCCAGGCCCCAGCGCCCCAGGCCCCAGGCCCCAGGCCCCAGGCCCCAGGCCCCAGGCCCCAGGCCCCAGGCCCCAGGCCCCAGGCCCCAGCCCCAGGCCCCAGGCCCATCTCCACCCGCTCCAGTCACACACGACACGGCCGGGTCGCGCCCCGCCCAGAGCAGCGCGCGGTTTCGAGTTTCCTCCTTTTGGAAAGTGTGTAACTCCGTCCGTCACCGCGGTGCTCCGCTCCCCTGCGCCCCGCTCCGCTCCGCACCGCCCCGCCCCGCGCCCCGCGCCCCGCCCGCCTGATGGATGGAGCCTCACAATGAGACTGTTGTAGGCTCATGTCGCTATCTGTCGCGTTCATCGGCTGGCCCTCCCGGTTAAATACCGCCAGACCGCCGGGCCGCCAGGTGAGCGCAGCCCGTCGACCGACGTCGACGACGGCCGGAGGGTGTAGCGGGGGAAGGCCACAGCGAGGCGATCCATTGCCTCCAATAGGATTGAAACGAGCCGTGCCAAAACGCTTCCCCGTCGCCGCACCGCCGGGCTCTTTTTCAGAGGGAAGCGCTTTGACGCGGACGTCCACGACGACGAGGACACCCACCGCCACTCGCCACAATGCGCCACAGTGCAACGCAGCGACGCGTCGTGAATTAATCCGGCAGAAAACGGCGAAAGGAGAGACACGCGTGCCGCGCGTGCAGCGCAAGCGAGACGGAACACAACAAAAATAAAAAAATAAAAGGAGAGAAGAGACGCATCGCACCCCACCTCAGTACTTAGAGTTGCTAAATGCCGTGAGTCAGGGCGCGTCATTCCCTTGAGCCCCCGGTCACGTCGCAGGAATGCACGGCAGGTTCACGAGGTGGGGAGGAGAGAAGAGGCTGGCTTTGCAGATGAATAAGTAATGAGACATTCCATGCCGGTTCGGCCAGGGCCTGAAGGTGACCATTGACGATTTCCGTGCCGCTTTGGCATTTTTTTGTACTCGTCGAGATAGGGCGATTGCCAAATTTTTAGGTCCCTAAGTCCATTTTTGCGCCCAGGGTGGCAATTTTTAGATTTCTCTGAACATTCTTTAGTGGTTTTGTTGAAATTGCGCTTCGAAGTCCCTTTCTTGGCTCTCCACGGCACAATTTCAACGCTAGCTCAATGATTTTGTGCTTAAAAGATGCGTATTGAATAGAGGAAGAGACTCCAGTGGTCAAATTCTACTTTTGAAGTCATCTTCGTGGTGATCCAAGTGATTTTGCAAATTAAAAACATGTAAAAATGAGGTAATTTTTGCTAACTTTGGCGAGGGATCTTTCGATGACCGACATCGAAATTTGAACTTTTTCTAGCGGATTCTTGAAGGTCTCGAGGAGATCTTTCGAGTTCCGGTGCCAGAAAGTATGGGACCGGCCCTAGTTTAGCCGCTACACCGCTCCAAAGTTTCGAAAAATCCCAAATTTGCACTAAATGGTGCAAGGAGTGGGCTTTCGCTTGCAGGCCCACGGCAATTGCCATGCGAGTCCCAGGCCATCTCGGCCCGACTAAAACTGACCCCTGCAATAACTTCTACTTGATCCCAAGCCCCAGGGTCACTCACCGGCTCGGGGGTAAAGGGGAGGGGAGGAAAGAATACAGTGAATTTTCACAAAATTATGCCCCAAGCTTATATGTCGTCCTAGCCCCGCATCAGTGGTGATTATGGACCTCAGGCCCAGTGTGTTTGACAATACTTGATTCCGCCTCCCGCAACTCCCCCCTCGGGAGAAGCGGGTGCTCTACAGGCGTTCGCTCACATTTGTCCGCGGGGAGCGCCTGCGATTAAGTAGAGCAGGCAGCCCCTGCAGCACGCGTGCCGTTTGGTGGCCTACCTTACAGGCGCTTCGGCCCTGGACCACAGGCCCTTGTACACTTTCTTCGGCCCCCTCTGCTGGAAGCGTCGTCTCAAAACATAACCGCAGTAAAATGGGATTGGAATTTTCAAAGAAAAAGCAAGTTCACCGAAAATGTTGCTCATTGTATTTAGGTCTTTGCAAATTGTTTACCGTGGTTTTAATGACTTCTTCCTTAGCTTGGCTATGTTTTTGATCCTTGAAATTCCGCCCTTGCCAATTGAATACTCTGATGAGGCTTCCTTTGATACTGGGACTGTTCCCAGGACGTTTGGACTGGGTGGCACATGGCCGCTTCAGTCTTCATTCCAGGTAAACTTTGTTGCTGAGAGAGGTGGGTAGAGCAGCATCAGGTCAGCTTCTTGCTCTTGCATGTCAATGTCTGTGATGAGATCCACATAGGTTTTTTCTCGCTACTATTACGGCCTCAAAATTATTAATTTCGAAAGTCAGTGGCCTACTGGTTTCGCAGATCTCATGGATGCGGAAAAAGCGTGTGTCAGAGCTTACGCTTTTGCAGCCACCTGTCGTTTCTAAATCATTTTTCCTCCCTATCTGATATGTTTAAAATGACAGTCATTTTCTTTTCAATCTCTGTATCTTTTTTCTTCATTTAGAAACGACAGGTGGCTGCAAAAGCGTAAGCTCTGACACACGCTTTTTCCGCATCCATGAGATCTGCGAAACCAGTAGGCCACTGACTTTCGAAATTAATAATTTTGAGGCCGTAATAGTAGCGAGAAAAAACCTATGTGGATCTCATCACAGACATTGACATGCAAGAGCAAGAAGCTGACCTGATGCTGCTCTACCCACCTCTCTCAGCAACAAAGTTTACCTGGAATGAAGACTGAAGCGGCCATGTGCCACCCAGTCCAAACGTCCTGGGAACAGTCCCAGTATCAAAGGAAGCCTCATCAGAGTATTCAATTGGCAAGGGCGGAATTTCAAGGATCAAAAACATAGCCAAGCTAAGGAAGAAGTCATTAAAACCACGGTAAACAATTTGCAAAGACCTAAATACAATGAGCAACATTTTCGGTGAACTTGCTTTTTCTTTGAAAATTCCAATCCCATTTTACTGCGGTTATGTTTTGAGACGACGCTTCCAGCAGAGGGGGCCGAAGAAAGTGTACAAGGGCCTGTGGTCCAGGGCCGAAGCGCCTGTAAGGTAGGCCACCAAACGGCACGCGTGCTGCAGGGGCTGCCTGCTCTACTTAATCGCAGGCGCTCCCCGCGGACAAATGTGAGCGAACGCCTGTAGAGCACCCGCTTCTCCCGAGGGGGGAGTTGCGGGAGGCGGAATCAAGTATTGTCAAACACACTGGGCCTGAGGTCCATAATCACCACTGATGCGGGGCTAGGACGACATATAAGCTTGGGGCATAATTTTGTGAAAATTCACTGTATTCTTTCCTCCCCTCCCCTTTACCCCCGAGCCGGTGAGTGACCCTGGGGCTTGGGATCAAGTAGAAGTTATTGCAGGGGTCAGTTTTAGTCGGGCCGAGATGGCCTGGGACTCGCATGGCAATTGCCGTGGGCCTGCAAGCGAAAGCCCACTCCTTGCACCATTTAGTGCAAATTTGGGATTTTTCGAAACTTTGGAGCGGTGTAGCGGCTAAACTAGGGCCGGTCCCATACTTTCTGGCACCGGAACTCGAAAGATCTCCTCGAGACCTTCAAGAATCCGCTAGAAAAAGTTCAAATTTCGATGTCGGTCATCGAAAGATCCCTCGCCAAAGTTAGCAAAAATTACCTCATTTTTACATGTTTTTAATTTGCAAAATCACTTGGATCACCACGAAGATGACTTCAAAAGTAGAATTTGACCACTGGAGTCTCTTCCTCTATTCAATACGCATCTTTTAAGCACAAAATCATTGAGCTAGCGTTGAAATTGTGCCGTGGAGAGCCAAGAAAGGGACTTCGAAGCGCAATTTCAACAAAACCACTAAAGAATGTTCAGAGAAATCTAAAAATTGCCACCCTGGGCGCAAAAATGGACTTAGGGACCTAAAAATTTGGCAATCGCCCTATCTCGACGAGTACAAAAAAATGCCAAAGCGGCGCGGAAATCGTCAATGGTCACCTTCAGGCCCTGGCCGAACCGGCATGGAATGTCTCTAATGCAACAAGCCCGCTGCGCCCTGCCCCGCCCCGCCCGGCCCCGCCCCGCCCGGCCCCGCCCCGCCCGGTTGCCTACCGCCGCCTGCCCGTTTGTCTCCCTGTCGCGACGCGCCGGCGCGGCGTCATGGAAAGCCATTTTTTAAAACAATTTTCAACCGTTTTCAACACAAGCTGCTCCATTACGCAAGATGACGTCCGCTCGGCCGACGCATCGTTATGAAGCACGGCGCTCTGAAATGCCTGACAAACAAAAATGACAATTTCCAAAACGAGCAGAGCCGGCGGGAAATATTGAACGGGGCGCTTCCTGGAGCCGACCGCGCCCGAACAGCGGCTGTCTCTCTCGCACTCGCGGGGCGTAGCGGGGCGTGGCGGGGCGGCCCCTCGGGGGTGCGAGAGAGGCGGAGAGCGAAGCGCAGCTCGGAATGAGACTACTGGTCGCGTCGTCGGCGCGGCGGCCCGCGCATCAGATGTTTCGTGAGAAACAAATGACTGGCGTTTCTTTCCCTGGTCCTGGCCGTCCAAGGCGTCCAGGCCATCCTGGCCGTCTCCCCGCGGTCGTTCTGATCGGGCGGGCGATACGGCGCAGCGCGGCGCGGCCGCGGCCGACTAGGCATGCACGTCGAAGCGCGGCCCCGGCGGCGTGGCGGCAGGGCCGCGGAATCCGGCATCCAGAATCCGGCGACTCAATCTGCCTGCAGCGCGCCATGGCCGTCCAGGCCGTCTCCGTCAGGCTTCGTCGCTCTGTCTCACTCGCACCCGTGCGGTACGCCCCTCGAAGGGGAGAGAGACAGAGCGACGAAAGCAATAATCGGCGGGCAGGCGGGCCGCGCACCTCGCGGGGCAGTCGAGGAGGCATCAGCGCGCGTTACTGCGTTACTGCGCGAGTGATGGGCGATGGGCCCTTGACAGGGATCTCAAGTTACCGCCACGCCAGGCCACGCCGGCATCGCGCATGCCAACAACTTCATATTATTTCCCGACCCTGCGCATGGCGAACGCGCACCGCACGCCGTGCCGCAGCCACGAAACAAAATTGAAAAATTGAAAAATGTTCCCAAATAAGGAAACTGGTGCTGCATGGCGGCCGCGACGGGTGCCGTTCCGTTCCGTTCCCCGCGAGCGACCAAACGGATGGCGGATCGGACACGCATTGCGTACGTACGTTGCCTGCTCATCTTTATGTGCAAACGCCACACCGCGCCACGCCGCGCCACCGGCCAGGGAGCGCATCCCATAACTCTTTGACCGGCCCGCTATCTTCCAGAGAAACCCTTGCAAGGCTGCAAGGCCTGGCTGGGCTGGCTGGCGTGCCGAGCCGTCTCGCCGTCTTGGCATGGTCTTGGCACCGCGGTGCGGGGCTGCCATCCTTCGGACATCCTTCGCAAGCCGAGTGAATCCATTAATCAGGCCCCTCACACGCCCCCGCTTGGCGGCGCCCCCTGCAGACTGTCCGCGTCTCCCTCGCACCTCCGCGGAAAAGGCCCGTGAGTGCGAGAGAGACAGAGCGACGGAACGCTGCACGGTGGCGGCGCGCCGGGCGCGGAAACCTCAACTGTGGAGGACGGCGTGAGCACGGGGCGCGGGGCGGTGGCCCGTCGCGTTGCCGATTCGGGGGGGAACGGGCGGCGTGGACTTTCTCCCGCTTCTCGACAAAGTCAGAGAGAAAGAGAGAGAGGGCTAGGGCGTTTCCCCTGCTTGCGACGTCGCCCCTGCTTCGAGTACCAAGGGGTGCGACTTTGTAATTTTTTTTCCCGAGGGTGTTTTTAGCTGTTTCACCTCACGCCACACAGGCCGGCACACGCGTCAAAACACTTGTCCCGGCGTCCTGGGCGTCCTGGGAGCGGCCGCAGACTGAACCGGTAGTCCTGCAGCTCGACAGGCAGGCCGGCACGGCACCAAATCCACGCGGACTGGACGACTAGACGCATGCCTGTAAATCTCGCTGCCGAACGACGAACGGCGAACAAGGGGCCGGGCGTGGCTGAGGCAGGCCACCGCACTGGCACTGCGTAGCACCGCGTAGCACCGCGCCTTTTACGTGGACGTAAACTTGAAGCCAGCGGGGACCAACTACCGCAAACTACGCGCTGCAGTCTGACGCGCTAGACGGACTTCACGTCCTGATTAATCGAGCGTCGGCTAAAGAGCGGGATACAAATTGTTGCGACAGGCCGAGTCTCCCCAGGGACTGCGTCGACTGCGTCCCGGTGCCCTGCGTGTCCCCCGGCACGGCGACACGGCTCTCGCTCTCGCTTTTTCTTCGCTTTTCAATGGGGCTTAATTGGTCCCCCCGTGTCCGACAGAGATGTCCCCCGAGACTGAAGCCATTCAATACCGTGTAAGCGCACCAGGCGGACCGGCCACCTCGTCGAGTACGTCGGGACGTCCGCCGGTCACGAGGACGGGGACAGGGGGAGATATGAGGTCCACTGCCCGGCCCTCCACGACGCCACGAGACATCGACCACAAATACAGAGGGACACGAAACGTCCACTGAGAGCGCACGACCGCGCGGGGAGGGGAGGGGAGGGGGGCGTTCTCCAACCCCTCCCGCCGCACGCGCTGTCTGCCTCCCAAATCGCGGCAATCCGCAAATGCGCAAGTATATCGCAGGGCTCAGTGTCAGACGAACAGACAAACGGGCGGACAGTCGGGCGGACCGGCGTGAATGGACTCCTGCTGGCCCCACACGACGGCGCGCTGCCGCGCTGCCGCCACCAGTACGACCCGCCACGAGGATCAGGGCGTTCACGGCGTTCACGGCGTGGCCGCGGCGTGGCGGGGCGCGGGTAGAGCCCTCGGACCGAATGCCGAGCCGCAGGGCCGAAGGGCCGACGGACGCCCTCAGGTGCAGCGGGGCAGGTCCGGCGAGCGGGCGAGGCTCCGGCGGTGGCCCCGTCGTGGAGGTGGGCCGAGAGGGCCTCCACGGCACGGCCTGACGCGCAGGGCTCCGCGGGCCGGCCGGGGCGCTGGGCGGGGCGGGTGATTGACGGGGCGTTAGGCCCCTGGGCCCTTCGGCCTCTGGCCCTCTCGGAAACACCCGTCTCGAACCGGTGTCTGGGGACCGCCGACCGGCCGACCGGTCACAGAGCGGCGCGCGAACAAAACAAACAACGCCGAGGGCCGAGGCGGGCCCTCTGGCTGCCTCTGGCCCTCTCCCCGCCGCGGCGCGGTCGCGGTGGCGCCCCGCACCCTGTGCGACTCTCTCGAACTCGGGCCGTCACCGCCATCGCCGCCACGGAGCGGTAAAGACGGCCCGGCGCCGCTACGCTCCTTCACCCAGTGCGCCAACGACACCTTCAACGCGACGCTTTCACTCGTCGAAGTGGACTAGACCAGGACCGTATAACCAGAGCGCCAGCGGGTGTCTGTCACTGCATTGGCGAGGACTCGAGGACGGTGGCTGCAGCGCCAACTCGCCGCCCCGCTCGGCCTTCCCTCTCTCTCGCACCGCGAGGAGGCGAGGACCAACGACGCGGCCACGCATGCTGATGCGGGGTGCCCTATGAGTGCGAGAGAGACCGATCTGCGAAAGTACTGCCTGGAGTCGGAATGAGCTGGCCGTCGGATTCCGTCCCGAGCTGCAATGGATTTCTCTGCGCTGTGCCTCGGGTGTGCCCGGCGCCCCCGCGCGGCCGGCAACCCGCGCCACGCGCCACCACGGCCGTCGAATGGGCTGCCTGCCTTCCGGGCGCTTGGCGGCAGCTGGCCGGGGAGACCCTGAAGGGGGTGGTGGCGTGGCGGCACTGCGCAGCTTGCGCAGCACAAGCACAGTCCGCGCGTGCAGCAAGCGGCAAGCACCTGTTGGCGGAGCAGACACACATCCTGCCCCGCCACGCCCCACCACGACAGGAACGTCGCCCCCTCCCGCGCACTGCGCGTTATCAAACGTCCCATTTCGCACGACGGCCACCATGTTTTTTCAGTGCGGTGGATTTATGTGCTTTCTTTCCGGTCGGCCCGACGCGGCGGCCGAACACCGAACGCGAGATGGGAGCAAGATCGGAACGAGATCGAAATCGGGCGCGCGGCTCTCACGATGCAACAACGAACCAAACGACCAAATCAGCCTGAATCGGAATATCCGATGAGTCGGAGCGATAGGGGGCCGTGGCCGCCCTGCAGGCCGATTCCGAGCAGCCGCTGTCTCTGGCGCACTCTTGGGGCGTCCCGTGGTGGTGCGAGAGAGACAGGGCGACGGAGCACTGGCCACTGGCCTACTGGCGGCCGCTGGCGGCTCGGCCCATCGGTGGTCGCGGACGCGCGGACCGCAGCGTCTGGAAAACACTTCTCTGAAGTGGGGCGGCTTGGCGGCCGCAACCCCGCAGTGGCCAAGTCCGTGACATAACCAGCACCAAGAGGTCACCAGGGCGTCACCAGGGCGTCACCAGGGCGCCTGCTGCAACACTCAACACTTACCGCAATAAGGATGCTGGCGCTAGCAATGCGCATAGTCTCCGTTCCCGTGTCGGCAGGCCTTGGCCTCGGCCCTGGCGGGGCTCTTCGCCGTGGGCAGGCCCCTGGAGGCCCTGGAGGGGGCGGGGCCGGCGGGGGCGGAGGCGGCCCGGCGGGGTGCCACCCCCGTCATCAGGGGCGCGCGGATCGGTGCGCTCGGCGACGTCGGCGACACTCGGGCCTCTGCGCCATCACCTGCAAGGCAGAGGAGGTCTTGGTTCAGGACAGAGGCTCGTTGCTGCAGTTTCCTGGTGCTTTCTCCCTCGCAGACCTCGCGGCACTGGCGGCGGCCCACGCGGTCGTCAACCAGGGTCTGCACGGGACGGCGTCGAAGAGACACGCGAAACGCCGCGCCTCGCCACTGAAAGGGTTTACGGACTTCCTAAATCATCGCCGGAGTGGCCGTGCCGTGCCGTGCCGTGCCGGGACTCTAGCCAGGACTCTAGCTGGCCGGGGAAACAATCATAAATACAGCCGGAGTGGGACCACGCCGCCGCGCCGCGCAGCGCGCGTAGACACCAGGCCCGCCGGTGGACTTCGTTAGTTTTCCAAATGATGGAACGCGGAGTTTCTCATATGAATCGGCCGGGATCGGCCTCTGCTTGACGTGTCGATGCATTTCTAATAGAAGCTGGGGATTCCTGTAGCGCCGCCAGTCTCATAGCCTCACGGCGGCAGCGCGGGCCGCCGGCTCCTTCCCTGTCTCCTTTACTCGACACACACACAGACACGCACACTCACAGACCGCCGGGATGAGTGGAAAGAGAAGGGGCAATTCACGGCCATTCTTATGCTCTCCTCGGACCACCCGGGGCGGCGCTCTTTGCCACGCCGGCCGCGGTGGTGGCGGCCCTGGCGGCCGTGGTGGCGGCCGTGGTGGCGGCATGGCGGTCAACGGGGAGGTGCTGGCCCTGGGCGCCGAGCCCCGCGGCGTGTCTCCGCGTCTTGCGCAAGCAGCAGCCCGTCAGACGCCTCCAATTAACACGCCGCGGATCAAGTGCGGTGGGCCTGGAGCACGAACACTCTGTCTCTATCGCACCCCTAGGAACGCCGCATGAGTGCGAGAGGGAGTGAGGAGCTGGTCGGGGCAGCGGCAGCGGCGGCATGAGAGAAGGGCGGCAGCGCCCCCGGCAGGAGAATTAGCCTCGCGTCGTTTAGTCGTTAATTGATGAGCCGCGCACCGCACGGCGTCGCTTCGATTCGGGAAAGGGGGGGGGGAGCAAAACACACACACGCACGGCAAGCCACCGCAGTCTCCACTCGGAGTGAAATGTCACCGCGCCGATACAGTATGCGGGCTGTTTAGCACGATGAAGCGGCGGCCGGGCCGGGCCGTGCGGGTCGGATAAGGCTTCGTCGTCGACGGGCACCCTGCCCTCCTCCTTGGCGGTTCCCGAAACAGTTTCCGCTTATTGTCGTAAATCAGGATGACCCGCCGCGGAGCCAAGCACGGCGACGCACGGCGACGCACAGCGAAGCGCGGGGCACTGCTGCGCGGCGATAGCGCGCGTGCCGAGAACGCGGGGCTGTTTGCCCACGTGGATGAGTGCGCGCGCGCGCGTGTGTGTGTAAACACACACACACACACACACGCTCGTCACGGCGGCGTGTGCCATGACGCGTCGTATGTGGGTCGACGACGGCCACGTACGTGATTTGGTGTGTTTTGGGAAAGTGCGCGTCGGCCGAAAAGGCGCAGAGCGCGCAGTGTGGTGACTTATGCTCTCGCCGTGGCGATGAATACCTGATCACCCCTTATCTCCACTCTTTCCGACGGGGCCAGGGGAGAGAGAGGGAGAGAGAAGGGAGAGCGGCGGTCTAAAATATACTGCCCTCGGCCCTGGGCTGGACCCGGCTCCCGGCTGGACCCAGAGTGGAGTGGTGTGGACAGTTTGGTTATCGACCGCCGCCGTCGACCGCACTCCGCGCGGCGCTGCGCTTCTCGCGACCAATCAGCAGCCTCATTTCCGTCCCTCCATTCACCCCAGCCGAGGACTCGGCGGACTCGACTCGCGGCGCGAGGGTCCCGTTGACGGCGTCCTCCAGGGCGGTACGTTCCACCAAGTACCCCTCATGAAGTACCCCGCGGCCTACCCTGTCCGCCTCGAAACGGCGCGCTTGTCAACATTCACTGGTGCAGTGAATGTTTCAGCCCGCGCTTTTTCCACGCACGCCGCCCGGTGTCTTGTCAATGAATACTACGGGCAGGCCGACGGGGCGGCGGGGCAGGGCGGGGCAGCGCGGCGAACGGCGGGCAGCGGAGCAGCGCGGGCCCATTGACATTTGCGTTTGGACTCATGCCACTGGGGCCATGCGCGCCATGCCCATGCCACTGGACTGGGCCGTTGGGGCCACTGCACCGCCAGCGAGCAGGCGGCGTGCCGCGGCGTGGGGCAGCGTGGCGGTCCAAGAAGCCATCGCCGGCCGCTCTGGACTCTGGCCGTCGGCCGGGGCGGCACGCGGGGCGGCACGCGGGGCGCAGCGCAACGCCATTCATTTCAGCGCGCCGGAACGTTATTCACTTAGAGAGCAGTAGAAAGGAGTATTTCATGGGGGAATGACAGTGCGAGGCATGCTCTGCCACGCTCCGCGCTCCGCTACGCGAGCCCCGCGAGGCGCGGCGTGGCGCGGCGCGGGGAGGGGGCGGATGCTCCGTGAGTTCGAAACCGAAATTGGTCCGACCTGCATCGCCTGCATTGCCGGCACCCCCAGTGTGACATATGGCGGTAGTGCTGACGTTCAATTACGGAGCCTCCCGAGTCGAGCGCGGGAAGAGCAGAGAGGGAATTCGATGCCCGATCGACCTGCCCGTTCCCCTTCCTTTTTTACTCGTCACGCGCCGCGCCGTCGCCTTGCTCTTTTTTCACCATTTTAAAATCGAAATGGAAAGTCGAGTCCTGGACGCAGTGTCAAGCAGTCGAACACAGCGAACCGCACGCACACTGTGTTTCTCTCGTAACTCCATCCAGCTCGTCCACTCCGCTCGGAGCGCCGATTTCACATAAATCCAGATTCGGGAGTCCTTATCGGATGCCGTGCCGCTGGCGTGCCGCTGGCGGCGAGTCCCTAAGTCACAACGGCCCGCTGGCCTGCGTCTGCGTGATGCATGCCCCGCGCCACACCGTAAAGACGCTGCCGGAACTCTTTCGCCCGGAGCGGCGCGGAGCGAAGTGGGATTTCAACACTTTGTCGAGCGACACCGCCGGCAGGCTCATGCCGAACAGTGCCTTCGTCGCTCTGTCTCTCTCCCACTCACGGAGCGCTTCGCAGGGGGTGCGAGAGAGACGGCGGCCGGCCGGGATGGATTACAGTGGAGCGTCGCCGGCCGGCCTATCGCGACGGATCTCTGCTCTCCCTCGCGTAAATAACCAAATAACTCGACAGTTTACGGTTTTCGGAACACCGACGGCACCAAACAAATCGGGTTTGATTCATCCTGGGAGGTGACCTGGGGGAAGTCCAGCAGGTACGGCAGGAACGGTTAGGGGACCACAAATCGGCGCGGCGCAGGTCCCCTTCCGAGCGCGCCCGAAGTCCCCCTCGCCGAGCGCGGCCCGAAGGCGAGCACGAAGGTCCCCTTACACGTGGGTATTCCGAGGATGGGGATAACCCCGGACCCTCGGGGGGGCTTAGTCACTCAAGTAGAGTTGTCGAGTGCCTTCCCATCAGATGTCTCCGTGGCTCCAGGGTACCACCTCTGCCCACGGCCTCTAGTATTGGTGGTTCAAACACTGGCCTTTTTTTTAATTTTTCGGTTTCACCCATCCTTTTTAGTTATGTTCAAATTTTAGGTTGGACAATATGGTTTAAGAATATTAGGGTTTGGTTTAAATATGGTGCGTTAGGTTACGTAAAGTTGGTCAGGTCGCAAGTGACCGAAAATTGTCGCGATTTTTGAGAATAGAGTAAGATCTGTTGGCATTATAAATAGATCTGCCGCGATTAGAATGAGATCTGTAGCGAGCCCGTTAGGATTGATTAGAAAAGGTTAGACAAATTATTTTTAAAATGTTAAGGTAGCCTTCTGTCCACCAACATACTACAATTTCCTTCTGACGAACATGCATTTCCATCTGAAGCAGAATCTAGCTCTGCATCGAAGCCGAAGACCTTCCCCTGGCTAGTAGATGTTAAAACTATTAGCATTTAGGTTATTTCGATGATTAGGACTCCTTCGTGCCCCAGGTTGCCGTGCTCGGCACGGCACTAAGTCCCCTTCGGCTCCGGCCGCTCGGCACTCTTCGGCACCGCTCGGCTCGGCCGCCAGGGGGACCTGCGCGGCGGCGATTTGTGGTCCCGTATCAAGACGTGGTACGGCATCGTAGATTCGGCCACCTGTTGGGGGGAACTACTCGGGTCAGAGTCGGAAACCTCCACGACACTGGACCGCGCGCAGTCCTCGCGTCGCAGGAACAGTAAATGGCCGCCGCGCTGGCATGAGCACGTGTGTCTCCAGTGTGGGTGCGAAAGGGACATCGGAATGTAATTCCCATCACGTTTTGACAAGGTAGGTGTTAACTGGGTCGGCCCTTCCCGCGCCCGCCTCGCCTGCCCTCCAGCCTTCCAGAGACGAGCGAGAATGTCAGCCCACCATTGTTGTGGTAAAACAATGGGCGCGCCTTGCCGTCGCCTTGCCGTCGCCTTGCCGTCGCCTTGCCGCGACTCCGATAAACAGATCGCATTCCGACTCCATGACACTAAGTGTCAACGCGTTGGTCACGAAAAGAGGAAAAATTAAAAATGGCGCGAAAATTGTTTTGAACGAGGGCTGGTCTCCGCCGCGTCCGGCAAGGCGTGCCGCTCCAGTAGCGACACCCGACCGCTTTTCCTCCGGAAGGGAGCCTGCCGTGTGTTCCACCGTGTGTTCCCGCATTAATGGCCCATTTAATTGCGCCACTTTATCTGGAATTCTCCAGCGGCCGCCTTGGGCCCGCCAGGCCCGCCACTACACGGCAGCCCCCGCAGCCCACGCACTAGAGCAGCGGCCCCAAGCGCGTCTCCGGCGACCTACAAACAAACGGTTTAGCTGTTCCCGGTACCGCCTTGACCTGCCAGCCTCCCGTTCCCATGGCACTGCATGCATGGCACTGCATGGCACTGCATGG